CAGTGTATATTGTAATATATAAGGAGAACAACAATGGAGAATGGAATGCAAGGTGGAAGAAGAAAGGTCTTTAGGAATATGGAATAAGGAGAAAAAACCGTGGTTAGAAGAATATGCAGAACACTACGGCAATGAAATATTAATGCCCGTGTGCAAATCGATTACGACTCCGATGAGATCTAGCATTAGCCCTTACACGCCCGCGTCGCAAACTAGAGAAAATGCGCCAGCTAGAGATACTGGACGTAAATTACAACCTACGACATCATACGCTGAAAGTGTTAAAACACCTGTCTACTCTGTGAAGAAGTCAACAACAGCAACTAAACACTACAGCGTCACTCGTCCGAAACTTCATAGAGTCGCGAAAGAAAAAGCTTACAGCAGGCAAGACGACATTTCAGGAACACATGGAATCTATCGGAAATCGGCGACGACATATATAGGCCAAAGTGTAAACAACCATTTTGTTTAGGACATTGTCCAACTGTAAACAAAGGCGGAGGAACAAAAAGAAGGAGCTACGACACCCAAGAGACAAATTAAAACAAATATGGTAGAGGGAGCTAGTTCTCCCTAAGGTAATTAATTTATCTAAAAGAAAATTAACAAAAGATGAAATTGATTTGCTATCGAAGGGTCTAAAATTTTGTCCAACACCAGATAAAAATGATAATGAAGAACTCCAGGGGGACATTCCAAAATTCTGCAGGAGACTTCGTCTATGCCATAAGTTTTGTGACGAAGACGGTGAAAGCAAACCGTTGGAAACAACGGCGTTAGTCCATAACAATTCGCAATGGAACCCACCAAGAAGTTCGGACAAACATTTAGAAGACGTCATTGATAGTTTAAAAAAAGATTCCTTTACATAATGATAATCATAAACAAGTAAAAAGTAATCTGTCTTACAGACAGAAATGTGCTTTGGATTCTTTAAGAAATGATACCTCTATCATTATCAAAGAGGCTGATAAAGGCAATGCAGTAGTGGTCATGAATAGAGATTTCTATGTCACGTGATACTTACAGTTGAATTTGTCAGTCTCACAATCCATCTCTATAGTATCTTGCATATGAATGACTATCCAACATATTTGAAACATTCATCAGTTGTAATGTACGCTGACGACACATCACAGGGTGTAAAGGGTGATGCAGTTGATGATGTCGAAGAAAAGTTAATAGTTGACCTTGAATTAGCAAGTGAGTGGATGACCAATAATAAAATGAGTCTAAATCTAACAAAAACCCAATGCATGCTTATTGGCTCATCACAAAAATTATCAAAACACAGACAGATGAGTGTCAAAGTGGGTGATATAATTATTGAAACTGTACACAATGCCAAACTGCTGGGAGTTTTTATTGACAGCTGTTTATCATGGAATGTACATATTGAATATGTATGTAAGAAAATTGGAGTGTTAAAACGAATCAGAAAATTCATATTCCTAGAAATATCCAAAATGGTGTATACGACTACCGTTTTACCTCATTTTATGTACTGTTCTTCAGTATGGAGCAATCCTACAAATGTGTTCCTTAAGGAAAGAATATATAAACTTTAAAAGAGAGCAGCAATAGTAATTCTAAATATAAGAGAAATTCGTACACCAACTTCGTTACTTTTAAAAGCTTTAAACTGGATGCCTATTCAAGATTTTTATACTTTTAGAAAATGTGTTCTAACTTATAAAATCCTTAACGACCAGGCTCCAGGATTTTTCAAACAAAATTTATTTACCTATGTTACCCAGATTTCCACAAGAACCACAAGACCTTCTGCAATGAACCAGCTCTATATCCCCAAGTGTATAACAAGTTTTTACAAAAATTCCTTTAGATACACTTGTACTATTGTATGGAATACTTTGGAAGAAACCATACGAACCACAACAAATGTTCTGGCTTTTAAAAAGGCATATCTGGCCAATTATTTTAAAAATATTAGATCATGAATACCATGTGTTACCGGCGGACCAAGTAGGTATGGGATTCCCAATCACTGGGAAACCGAGTACTATATGGTATATACTATATGTATATTTTAAAGTACAATATTTGAAATTATCCCTATGGTTCTGTTTATTATAATTTCCTGAGATAATCCTTATATTACCCTGTGATAGATAAATATATGTATGTATTGACTTGTAATATGCTGTGATATTTTCTAATGTTCTAAATGCAAATCTGTGATATTTAGTGATACAATATAATAGGTTGTCTTAATAATGTATTGTACTATTTAACTACTTTTTCTATTTTATTGTATGTCATATGTCTCTGTATGCGTGATGTGCTGTTGTTTTATGTATGTATATATAATGTGTTTTACAGGGCCATATTGTAAACTAGATGAAAATCTAGATATGTTACCCTGTCCAAATAAAAGAATGTATTATTATTATTATATCAATTCATCCATATTCATTAAATAGTAGGAGATTGTGCGGGTAGGTCAGCTGGGGAATATTCATCCTATTGAACAGAACTAACATGTCTAGCAAGTGGGGGATATAAATTACACGAATTTGCTTATAGTATGTATATGTTGTTCCAATTCTGATCAAACCCTATATTCGTAAGTATTTTGTGCAGTAACATCATTGTTTTTTTTATAGGATATACGTTTACAAAATGTTCTCTTCTTAAGAGCAGTGGAACGCAAAGAGCACCCAAAACCCTTTACCAATATAGGCCTACATGTTAATTAGTAAGGTGTTTGCTCTGTGTCACTTATATTGTGACAGTGTCCATGTAACAGGTGCATTATCCTATAGTGTTTAAATGCATGACATTATTAAATCAAATTTATATCGTCTTGCTTTTTCGTCAATGAACCCATTGCAATATTTGGTATCTTGATATTTCTCTCTATACTTCTAACTACCTTTTATACCTTACTTTTAGCTTTGATGTTGAGCGTTCGCCCTGTCCCCAGGCCTGGATATGCTAAAGTCCTTAAAATTGGTAGTTGTTTTTCCCTGCCTAACAAATTGTCAATTGATGTATAACTACAATTATATATATCATAAATTATGTCATTTTTCTTAATGCGTTACTGTAACTATTCTTTTATTGAAGAAACCGTATCGTTTGACATTCCTTTTGTAACAATCCGCAAGTTGATATTATTTCACATGAAAATCCTTATCCAACTTTTGTGATGATTTTATTGTTGTATTTTTTTCATAGCTGCAGATATTGACCATGGAAAAATTAGGGTTCTCTTATCATGTGTGAGAAAACCCGACTGTACTAGTGTGTATCCATAGTAATGTATGACCTGTATACAAGATAATGTTATTTTGATTTGCGTATCAGATAGATACAATAGCATGACCTTGACCTATTCAGTATTTTGACATAACCTTAGATTACCATTCCCTTTATTTGTAAACTATTTATAAACCTATGTACTAGTAGATGGTATAACGCGATATATAACATCAGATAGTCATATGTTTCCAACATCATTATTTTTGATTGGATGTTCCTATCGGGATAACATCGTACTATTTTCATCCAAGATATCGTATGTTAATTCACAACTTGAAATCACGTGAAGTTTGTTTTATACAAAGTAACCAAGCCTTGTCATATTTGACATTCGACCCTTGAACCCTTTAAATAGTATTGTATTAGGGAGAGAGAGAGAGAAGACAGAATAATAATCACTGACTTATAGGATAAATGATATAAAAAAAATAAGCATACTGGTCCCGCTGTTTGTGTGTTAACATCCATGCCCCACCCTGTACAGTAACCTCCCCTTAATAACCAGGTGGCTCATCTTGTTAGAGCAACAGTTATAACACCTGGGCACGTGTTCATGAAACCATTCCCATGCTCAAGCCCTAATTTCTTGACTAACCGTGATGAAGATATATAATGCTTTACGTTTTGACAATAATTAGGAAGACTTCTGGAGAGGCTTGAAGCAGACCTTCGTTCTTAGGGTTTACATCTCAGTGTTTACCATGTCATTTGATTTAAGTGAGCTACATGAAAGTTGGTTTGAGTAAAAAAAATCAAACAAAATCGTAATTTGGCAATGATTGGAAAACAATGAACATTGCAAAACCTTAAAACCGAACGTTGTTTTCGATGTTTATATTTCACTTTTTGATCGTTTGACATGATTTTAGTGAGGTAGAATAAAAGCGGATCTCGCACGGTTTGTAATTCCTTCATTGTTAATGTGTGCTTCTATTTATATGTCCTGTTTGCACTGTATCGTACACTAATGAGCTGTAAAGCTCAAAGTAAAAAGAACTTGAACTAGAACTTGTTTTCTTTTTTGTTTATCCAGGGATGTGTATATGTCCACTACACATCCCTGGTTTATCGTTATAAGTTTTTTTCCCAATCTGATTAAAATCATATCCTACATTCGCTACGTATAACGTGATACGTAGAGAATATAGGATACGATTTTAATCAGATATTTTTTTCCATAAAACTCACGCAGTGTACGGTATTGATAAAAGAAATAGTCCAGTAATTAATTGAGCCTATTGCACGAAAAAAAATGCACAATTTCTCTAATGAAATAAATAAAGAGAATATATATATATATATATATTTTTTGACAGAATTTCAGACTCCCTTGCGACTATCATGACGGAGAGGGGGATTTTTTAGGTCCTGTATTGGATTCCAAGTTTTGTCGTTGTAAAGTTAAGTACTTAAAAGTTGCATCTATAACGAAAATTAGTGATTTATGTTAAGTTATATCGGAAAGAAATAAAGTTTATACGAAAAGTTTTATTTCACAACCGTGAACATTTTGTAATGTAACTGAAATCAATTATTATTTTGAAATACGTTCTACGAAACGGATGGATGAAGGAGTTGTGAAACCCCCGTTCACATTATTAATTATAAACGGCCTACAGTATATCTTCTGGTTCTAGATAACACTGAATTATCGGCCCTGCATATTATATTGCGAAATCGACATCCCCTTTCTGGCCTCTTTGACGTCATATCATTATTACGCATGCGTAGAGTCCTAATTACTTTGGCTGCCAGAAGATCCGCTGTTAGGTCGTGAGAAGCTCCGGTTGACAAAATGAAGAGTTTACTAGCTGCTGCGTTTGCGATTATCACACTGTACTTTATATTTGACAGTGGTAAGTATATTTTTCTGTTGAAGTGTGTGTATTATTTCTTTTCTGATAATATTTCAATGACATTTCACCGGCGCCATGTTGCATGTGTTCAGTAGGCTTTAGCAGTAAGCGCATCGTTTCGCACTGTTTCGTGTGGCATTTCGCGAAATATCTGTGCGTTCTTGTGATTAAATACGATTGTTTTCGTTTTAATTCGATGGTTGTAGATATTTGATCAAATAGTTCATGTATTGGTCGTCTGAACATTGTGCAAATGTAAAAAGTTTAGCGTTGGTACATATCTATCCTTTTGACCTTGATGACGCTACCTGGGCTTGGAGGCCGCTTAGGCACACTGGTCTTACCCATTCACTATATTTACCTGTGTGTTCAAGTTAAAAAGTTCAGATCTTTGACTAGTCCTTTAAAACCTCGAAATTTGTCATCGCTTATATTTGTTATAAGTAATAGCTTATCAGGTCCTTTACTTACTTCTCTATGTCATCAATTTAAAGCAACCTTCCAAATCAGATAGTTAAGTGTATTTTACCTGTGGTTACAGGTATATGGTTCGGTGTGCACTGTATACGTGTTTAACAGGTCCAGTACACTCTGTCGATTGAGCTATTTTCACCTATAAAATAAAGCTGTATTGAGCTATATTTTCTCAGATTTCAATTTTCATTAAATTAAAGCAAAGTGATTTTAAGTCGCATAAAACTATAAAGATTATGGTAATGTTGACTACAAAAAAGCATACATTTAGATGTTTATTTTCATTTTTTATCAATGTTAAATTTTCGGTTTTTTACATCATTATTTTTAAAAAAAGAATACATATCTAATACCTATTTCAGATAGGTCAATGGAGCTATTATAGGTCTTTACAGCATTATAGCTCAATCGGCAGAGTGCACTGGACCTGTTTAATGAAGTTCACATATTTTTTTTTGCTTTTGCTTTTTGTCTTTCATGTGTTAATTGAAGTCCAGCTGATAAGTCTTGGTATTATCAGGTAACATGTATCCAATCTTTTGCCATAAAAAGTACGGAAAAGGGTAAAACGGATCTGTTAAACAGTAAGGCAAGTAGTGTTATGTAATATGATATAAGCAGTCAGCTTTCCAAACAACACTACATGGAAAAAACCCTGGAGTGGTGACTTTATTGTCCTCTAAATCAGCTGTATGTGCCTGAACCAACCTAAGTCTACAGTACTACAATGCCTTCATGTGCAGATATCCCCAGGCACTGTCTGTCATTGGTGTCTTTCCCATAAATTAAATCCCAGACCACAAAGTGACATTTGAGGCATGCCAAGGTAGACAACAGAACAGAAAATGGGTCTCAATGAGCAAGTTATTTTATACAATTCACTTGTTAAATCCAAACAAAAATATATATCATTTTATCCTAGAGTGATACAGTTTGTATGAACAGATATTTCAATCATCCTTATGGAAAATACAATGTATTCAATCTCTTTATCTTAACACACATTTCATATGAATCTGTCTGTCGGGCAAATAAGAAAAAATCAGGGTAGGCACAAAAATACAGGGTTTCAGAAACACCAGATTTTTTTATTTGTCCTCATTATGTTTTTCATCACAATTTTTTCCCTTTCATTTTATACAAGAATACTTGTATTGAAAAAATATACTTAAAAACTATGAGAGTAAGATGCAAATCTTATAAAAAAAATAAGTTCCTATTTACCTCATGACAACTTTAATTTTGCCTCTTCTTAGTACTAAGAGAAACTACTGTTATTATTAAAAACACTGGAAGGTGCTTTATTTTAAATTTGTTTCCAAATCTTTGCTGTAAATTGATTACCTTACAGTTTTCTTGATCAATAATGATTGATACCGTTTGTAAAGCTTTTGATATTTTATTGAATTTAAATCATTTAAAAAAACTTGTGATTGATAAAACCCATATTTTTTAATTCTGATATCAGGAACACACTTAAATCGAGTAAAAAGGAATTAGTTGTTCATTCGTTTCAACGCTGAAAAATTAGCAGAAATCGCGGTTTATAGTGTATATTTTTTACAAGGAAATGATTTTTGGAACAGGTCAGGCAACATCTGGATTCATATAACATTGAATGAATGTTGAGCGTTTAATACTTTATTTATAATTAGTATGCACTTTTTGTTTCTTGTCTTAGTTGATATTTTAACTGCAATATGTTAATAAATTTGCCAAAGAAATGAGAGGTTGATTGAAATCGAACTTGGTGTATTTGGACTAGATGTTTATACTGTTATATTTCAGGATCAGTTTTAAACTTATGATGGTCATTTAACAGTACCAGTAACTGATAGAAAGCGTTTTCTGATTGTGATAATGACTTTCTTTGGTAGTCAGATTTTTATTTTAAAAGCTTACTGATGAAATTTATTACTAAACTAATATACCGTAATAAGGAACAGCAACTGCTTCAAGTGTCTACAAGTTGAAAATACATCGACTTTATTCAAGTTCATTGTTTAATTATTACAGTTGTAAATTGATGATTTAACATCTATGTTTATGACAATTAAAGTTATCGATGGAAACAATATTTACGTTGTTAACAAAAAAAAACCTCATATCGTCCTAACATTGTTTGTGAAAGGCCGAGTTTGAATCTTTCTGTCAATGACAAGTTTACAGTACTGATCTTATATTTTTGGACAACCAAACTAATCTTTTTAGTGCACTGAAGACATACAGTGTGTACTTAATGGCTAGTTTGGAAGGAAGTTAAAACAGGGCCTATCCACATTTATATTTGTCGCACATTTCTATACATTGTTGTGCATGAAATTGGTTCATTGTTTTGGGAAACTGCAGTCATTGTTAATTTTTCAATATTAACTGTAACTGTCAGACTTTAGGAAGATATTGTTCAGGTCAAAAAAATACTTGTTTATCGGCTATCCAATATCCTAAAAACAAATAGGTGTTTGCAGGTAGGCATTTTATTTTATTTTGGAAGATGTTTTTACTATGCTTATATAGAGCGGGAGTCTTTACTTTAACGGTGCATATCACTAAATCCTAATGCAATATACAAATTAGGGCAGGAACAAAAATCTAGTGTAAGTAGGTGTAGCTGAAACACAAGATTTGTTTTACTTGGCCAAGTGTGATGGTTGACTGATAAAAAGTCCACACCTCGTAACAAAATAAAAACATCACAAAAAAGTGCAAACTGGGGTTAATATAATCAAATAATTTAACACATTTAAATAAAAAATCATGATCATTAATATTATCATCATTATCACTGCATATTACACTTGAAGAAATACCTTAACAGAGAATTTTTTGACATGTATCTATGATTAACCAGATTGCATTGGGATACAAGCATTTTTTTGCACACCCATATTTCTTAGACTTTCTATTTTTGAATATGTTATGTATCGCGACCAAATACTGCGAGACCTATCCTGCATTCAATAGCATATTTGTACACCTCTAGCCACTGTCTACGATTCTAGCATCATGAAAATTAACAATTGTTAGTTTATGTAGAAATAATTGTTACAATGACATGGATAATATAAAACAGGATATTTTGATATTTGTTATTATGATTTTTTGGATCCACTATATTATATTTTTTTTCTTTTTCTTTATTTTCAGGTAGCGCGATTAAGTGCTATGAATGCAACTCCTTCTTTCAATCAGATTGTGCAGATTGGTTTGACAACAAAACACACAACTTAGTTGATTGCGGAGATGAAGTCAAAATGTGCCGAAAAATTGTACAGGAAGGTATGTTCAACTAATGCATATAAACTGTATTCATATCCTTCAGCTACATAAATTCATCCTGTTTCGTATAAAAGTGTTGAATTTTGTAATAATTAGGATCCCGTTTAAGTAAATATCCATTGTCAATTTAAATAAAAGTTTTTATAACATTCAATTTTGAATGTAAGTGAGGAGGAAATGAATTCTAACATTAATGACATTTTTTTTGGCAGGAAATAACATATTGTTGCCTTAAAAGCTTCGGCTAACAAAAATGTGCATTTCCTTATTTTTTGCTTGAAAAAGATTTAGAGAAGGTGATATTTGTTTCTTCTAAATATTTCAAAATATTTCACTTTACAAATGGGGATTTAAACTTGGGAGGGGAAGAGAAAAGTTTAAATAAAAGTGTCGCATTGGTCATTTACCAGTGTCTGTTGCACTTATTGTGTCAAATAATGATTCTTGTTGAAATACACATTTTCTATGCTTAATGTTTTCTAATTTCATACAAGTAGTTGTTTGTATTGTCAGAAACACTTTTATAATTGATTTTCATGTTTCTTGCAGTTTACTACAACGATGACTGGGATGTGAGGTACATAAGGCAATGTGCCGCGAGTGGAGAAGTTGGAGATAATGAAGGCCGTAGTTGCAAGGACAGGACAGGCACATATCGTGTCAAAGTCCGATACTGTCACTGTAACAACCAAGAGGGATGTAACGGTGCCAGCAACATCAAAGTTCCTGCCCTTCTTCTTGCCGTGCCACTTCTCACATCAATAGGACTGTTCTTTTCAAAATATTTATGAAATTAAAAATAACTTAGAACTCTTTTTAAACAAATTATCTCAGGGTTTTCACTTAGAAATTCAAAAGACCAGAGATTTAACTGGCAGCTGTAACTGAATTGCTTTTATGTGAGATTCTGTTATCAAGCTGTCAGTTAATGCAGAGAGTGAAAACAGGAGACCAACCACATTTGCATTTTGGGATTCAGAATACTTTGATTAGGACCATAAAAAAACCAAACACAATTCTCTGGCATTTCATCTTTGGGCCAAAACGTGATCATGAAGACATGAGTTCAAGATTTGAAAACCCTGATCTGTTTTGTGGGATAATGGTAATTTTATCTTCTTTGACAGTATATGAAAAGATTCTTTTAAAATACTTTCCTTTCTGTATTGGATTCACTCATTTTGCTTTAGAATAAGATATATATTTGAGCCCTTGCTCAACCAAAAGCTTTAGTTGATGACTCAAAATAAAGCAATAATGTCATTACGGAATAAGGAATCTGAAATGTAAATAAATGTACTTTTTATCTGCAGCTTTTTATTATGGTTGGGGAGAGCAGATTATCATTTTGTTCTGTCCCAATAAATTTATTGTAAATAACTCAAATGGATAATAGCTAGAGCTGTTAATTAGTCTGGATTTTTTTCTTCTGGTTTATATTTTTGTACCATTGATTTTTAATGATAACTGAATTTCCTGTCTGTTGTTAGGGAATTGTTATTAATTTTTTCCTTCAAAAATTATGATTATGTGTATATGCAGTTCTTGATCACCTACGCATACAATTAATCATAAATTATACCTGCATTTTTCTTCTTAGAACTTTTCACAGGTTCGTATTTCAATAAAACAGAATATAGCTAAAATGATATTAAACTGACTAAATCAAGATTCTTTTTGTTCAAAAATTGGCCTGTTTTTTTTTCATTCTATTTTGTTAAAACTGTACATAATATAGGTTCCTATACAGATATTTGTAGACAAATGTTGAAATCTTGAGAGGTGATATAGGAGAACAATATAAACATTTTAACATTATTAATATTACAAAATGCAAATATGTTGTTAACGACTAGCGTCAGATTATTTTAAATTGTTTTAGGATTGGATGAATGCGACTAGTTTAAATATTTGTACTTCACATTGACCTTTTTGTACAATAGATATTGTAAACAGTACCATAAGTTTGTGTTATTTTTAAAATTAAGTAGGAATAATGAAGAAGAACTGTATGGAATTTTTTACTCTTAAGAAAAGCTAATAAACAGCAAAATTTAGCAAAGCCTTGAAAGCTACCAGTATTCCATGTTTAGTGGTATGCCTGTTATCAAAGCTATGTGAAACTGGAAAAAATCTTATAAACTGATGAGAAGAATGTGATATGAATGATTATAGACTTGAATGATATGCACTTAATTGAACTATATATAAAGTTGCAAGGATGAAGGAAGGTAAATTGAACATGTTATGAAGCTGTGAGCAATTTTCCTGTTCGTCTTTTGTGTAGTAATGTGCAAATACTAATTGCTTATTAGTGTACAGTTTTTCCATTCTTTCACAAAAAAACGTTTTTTTATATTGAAAGCATAATATGTATCCTGAAAAATCTTCACTTGATTAATGTGCCATTAGAAATTTTAGCATAGAAATTTATGATGTTGATATTGCCAACAAATTTTATACTTTTAGCATAACCTGAACTGCATCCAAATATAAGATTTAATATCAATAAATTCAGTAATACAGATTAAATTTTGTTGAATAGATATAGAAGTTTCAGCTTCCTTTTGGTTTTATTGTAAAGATTTGTATCACAAATTTCATGTGTTTGGTGTCAGTGGTGCATTTTTTTCCCCTGTACCCTAAGATTTTTCTCCAGTATTCGTCTACTTTGAAAAAGGAATGATTCAGGACATTGTTTGGAAATTTTTACATAAAAGCGTCTTTTTCCAAACAATAGCAGTCATGTTTGACTGGTTTTATTTTTGTTTTTTTGTAAATTGTTTGTGTCATATTTTTTAAAAGAAGAGTATTGATTGTGATCACATGTCATTATTTCCTGAGTGATGTGTTGGGCCGATTTTTTTTTTAAATAGATCTATATTCGGTATGTTTATCTATTCAGAATGAATTGAAGGAGATTGTTACTTTAGATTGTTCATTTGATAGATACATAACACTTTTAAATTGTTGTTTTTTGGAATGCATGATGACTTTTTAGTTGCCGTATAAGGTAACTGTAGTAACACTGGTCACAAGTGCCTAGGGCACTTCGTTGTGTTGATGCAAAATGATTCGTATTAGCTGTGTAGTAGGTTGTGCATACCTTTGTGAGCTTTTAAATTCTCATTGAATGAAATATGTCTAAAGCTGAGAACTCTTTTGTAAGTAATTCAACAACCCTTTATTAGATATAGTCTTTAGCAAAGTACTTCAATAATTACTAAGGTTATGGTTATTCTGGTGTTAAAGATGCGAGACCAGCTTTAGAGATGACACAAAATTAAAAGTGATTAGAACCAATATATTAAACAGTATCATTGATTCTTATTTCATTAAAAAAGGCATTTATATATTAACAATGGAAGTGAATAGTAGAACATAACTTTTTTATTATCTTTGTTGGCATTGTCATAGATAACCATGTGCAATATCATTGTGTGTCATCTTGTATTAAACACGCATACTCAAATTATATCTCAGCACACTAATAACCTAAAATGCTACTGTATACAATGAATTTATACCTCCACCGTTTTAATTCCACGGTCCTCTGATAATGGCTTCTGTAGAAAAGCAAATAAGGTAGCCATCTCTATTTCATATCCAACCCTTGGCCCAAAAATCTGTTTCTTTTGAAACATCTTTTACAAGTTCATAATTATAAATAGAAACATTATCAATTAAGTGTTAATGTACCTTAATAATCAAAGTAGACCAAATTTCTTGAGATGCAATTGTATACATATCAATATCATTCATCAGTATACATGTGTGACATACAAAACTAATATTAATTTCAAAAACTACTTATTTGCTTTTCTGACAAGTCTTCTTGGAGGAGCTAAATTTTTAAAGTGAAATTGCACATTGTAAGGCCGGTTTTATCTGAGCGAGTGTCGTAGAATGTGTGCGAGCAGTGTCCTTACATTCCCGTGTAACTGTTAGGATGTGATCAGGATCTTTTGTGTTAATAAATGATACCATTTCAGTTTATTTGTTTAGTCTCTTTGTGAATTCATAGACAAGTGAATATCCAGAATATCTCACAAATTGCTTTACTATAAAGACGTATTGTTGTGGTCACATGGTCATTATGAATGTGTAAAGTCCAATACACTATATGCCTGGTCTTGGGAGCTAAATATTTCTTTGTAAATTACAGTCTTAATCTAATGAAACGATCCCATTTACAAAAATGTCACAACATGTGTACTATTTCGGTACACCTGTGAAGACATTTTGACTTTGGTTTGTATGTGTTCAGGACAATTTGACTTGTTTATCTGATTAATATTACTGACTGCTGAAAATAATTTAACTGACTATTGAAATTAATTTGTCTAGTACATACTAAGAAATTGACGACATGTACCTGGTTTGCTATATGTATACACTGAACATTTTGAACCAAATACGACATGAGGATACGCTGATGATAATTATGTATTGAATTTACAAAATGCAAGCAGTTAACAATAATATTGTGTTGGAAGGACAGAGGTGAAGATGATATCCTCATTTATTGACCGTTCAAAGCACACATCATCCCTTGGAACAAGAACCATTATTATAACAAAGTGTTGTGTTATGCCAATTAACATGTTTCCTTGGTGTACAGATAACACTAGTATATCACATTCGTGTATAACTGCAGATAATGCTTTAATTATAAACTACGTCTGCGGGGATGTTGCATTCTATAACTATTTAAAAGCCTAATAGTGTCATCTCCATAACATGCATGCAGTTGCTATTTAGTTCGCAAATTCAAGGGCAGATACTGTCTTTCAGTGTGAACGTGGGGAAACTTCCATTAGATGCAGTATGTGTGTTGGCATACTGATGTCTGTTAACCATCCCTGGTTATGTCAAAGTCAGGCAGGTTCCCATGAGTGAATAGTTAAAACAGACCCTATCTAAAATAATACTTCATTTTTTTTTTCAAAACCCCAAAAAGCGGAGTTTTATTCCTATAACTTGTTCTGCATATCAACAAAAAATCATTATTTGTGACACCTACCCTGTGTCCCCATATAAAAGGATTCAAATACATGAAATCGTATTGAAATACATGTAGCTTCTTCCCCTTATACCCCATGACCTTAATGTATGGTGCTATAGCGACAAGCACTGTGCACGCTCGCTGATGTACAGACTGTGACGTAAAGCACTGCACGCTCGCTGATGTACAACCTGTGACGTACATTCATTCTGATGTCTGAACATGTAGTACACATGCCGTGAGGCTGTAGTGCACGACCGACTCCTTCAGCAGCTGTTCCAAATCTTACTGTCATCTTGTTCATCACAACAAGGAGCCAGATGTGCGTTTGTCTATGCTTTCACATTTACCATTACAATCAAGTCTACAGGCTGGTATCTTATTTTTCACCGTCCCAAATGGTTGTTGCAAATTTGCGGTAACATGTTTTTAGGCGCACGTTATAATCCTCAGATGAACCGTGACTTGTATGACAATTAATAACTGAGTGATATTTTGGACACCATATTCAGAAACCTGTTTATAGTATTGCACTATTTCGTATTTGATTTTTAAAACGCCTCTGATATATCCGAACTGAACTCGTAACTTTACAAAAATCTCGTCTTTTTAGTGGAATTTGCTTCTTTTACCAAGTAAATCTTGTCGTAAGGACGTTGACTATACTATATTATCACCAAGGAAACAATTTCATGATTTTGCCATATATGACCTGCTGAAATTATGGTAGGAATTCATTATTCTAAAAAATGCATTAGACATGTCTGAAAAATCGTCTGTATCAGAATCAAGGAGAAAAAGAAATCAATTTTGGACAAGTGCTCTATATTTATAATAAACCCGAACAGATTAAAGTGTTAATTAGATTAGGTGTATGTCAATGTTATCGGAATTCTAATAGATAGTTGGTACACATTTATATTACTACTGAATGACGATACATCTTACATATCGGTCAAATCGGTACACCAGTGGGTTCGCCTAACAAAGGTTTAAATAACTATCAAAAACAATGCCCTATTAATGTCCGGCTCTTTAAAAGGCATTTAAATCATAGATTGTCTTTGATATATCTGAAAGGCTCCCAATGGGGTTAATTTAACGGACATTTATGAATGCATGAATTCAGAGACGTACATTTGTATATATATATGTCTGTGATTAATTGTAATGTAATCACCACAGGATTACCATGGATGGCGACGATTTATTTGAAACGTTACTTGTACTCAAGTATCATTATGGGACGTGTTTCTTATGTTTAATTAAGTCTAGTAGCAGAGCTAGATAATTCAATATACATATATAACAGTATAAATTCTATATATACACGATAAGATATTATATTTAGCTGGTTTAGTTACATGTTCTCGTAAACAGGATACAAAATTATAGGTATACCATGTTATACTGAAGTTTACTTGTTATAAGTATTGTTATGTCAAGTAAAGTAAATGAATTCCGATCTAGAACAGTATGCAGTTTCTGGTATAGCCTAGTATAATTATCCATTGATATATACTGGTATAGTCTAGTATAATTATCCATCGATATTTATATACTGGTATAGACTAGTATAATTATCCATTGATATATATTGGTATAGCCTAGTATAATTATCCATTGATATATACTGGTATAGTCTAGTATAATTATCCATCGATATTTATATACTGGTATAGCCTAGTATAATTATCCATTGATATATATTGGTATAGCCTAGTATAATTATCCATTGATATTTATATACTGGTATAGCCTAGTATAATTATCCATTGATATATACTGGTATAGCATAGTATAATTATACATTGATGTATACTGGTATAGCCTAGTATAATTATAAATTGATATATACTGGTATAGCATAGTATAATTATACATTGATATATACTGCTATAGCCTAGTATAATTATCCATTGATATATACTGGTATAGCCTAAAATTATTATCCATTGATATATACTGGTATAGGCTAGTATAAATATCCATTGATATATACTGGTATAATTATCCATTGATATATACTTGTATAGCCTAGTATAATTATCCATCGATATATACTGGTATAGCCTAATATAATTATCCATTGATATATACTGGTTTAGCCTAGTATAATCATCCATTGGTATATACTCGTCAAATCCTTATACCATGGAGGGAGACTCGTAAATGTTCATAATGTATTATTTCATCGTATAATGCCGCAAACGAACGGGGCACTAGTTATCACAACAATACCAAGGTCCCCTCTCCAAAATACATTATCCGAAGAGCGGCAAATACGGGTCGATCACGATATGCAGATTTAAAGCATCAGTGATTGAAAGTAGATTCCTACTTCAAAATGGGATGAATCCTCACAAGAATTTCCATATGAATGAAGAATTCCCATCAAGATTCACTCTTAAGAGGTCAAAATTTAAGGACTTACATTTATACCTTAACTTCGTATGTTAAATATTCAGTTTCCTTTCTCCAAAAATAGAAATGATGCACCCATCACGTAATTAGCATGAATTCATAGATCGATGAAATAAAGGCAGTAAAAAAAATAATTTCCATTGTTTCTACCTTTAAAACGATTATTTAAGAGAGATGTTAAACTGGTTTTTACTTACTACCTAATATTTACCAATTGAATCAAACCGGTTTTCATTTTATTTTATTACTACGGTCTAATCTAATTCCGTGATATTACGTAATACTTAAATTACAACTCTGATTATGATATAAAGTTTTATAAATAAAGTAAACGCCTTTGGTTAAAATAAATTATACAAATTGATTCACTGTAACACATATGATCATGGAGTCATTGTAAATAGTTTTAAGTTTTCTGCAAACAAGTTTCCTTGAAAATTTAAGTTAAAAAAACACCAACTGGTTAAAAGTATGCATAAAAGATATACTGCTATTAATTGGTATTCAACACATAATAACAAAAATATAGCAAAAAGTGTATGATTCCGCGACCTCATCAAAGTCGCTAGCAATATTCATATTTACCGCTCAACCGAAGGTATAGAGGAAACCGCGCCCTTCAACAGGTGAGTTAACATAGTATGCAAATGAGCACTCGAAGCGCCACCTGTAACACAAAGACACACAGACGCCATGATGGCCAGACTCAAGATGACCTGGCTTCTGATATGCGGCCTTATGTACCTATTTGATACAGGTAATTGTCAAAATTTAATGTAAAATCTTAAACGACTTTGTTCAAATGCAGGCACGTGCATTTATGTATATCGTACACCCCTATTTTGATCGATCCAAGTAAATTATTACACCTGAGGGAAGGTGTCATTGCCAAAGAATGTTTACAAAAGGTGGCCTTCACTTCCGGATAACCAATTCAGTTGTATGTGAAAACATTACTGTTATTTCCCTGAAAACTGTTTCGTAAGGACAAAAAAAAAATGCCAAGCTTACATATGAAACTGTCGTACTCAATTAATTTACACCTGTAGGCTGTACCGACTGTTTACAACACCTGTATATTTTGGATTATTATCTCCCTTTAATACCTGGCACAAATAAGTAAATAATATCAGTAATAGTTTTGGACCCCGAAATATGTGTCTATTCTTTTCGATGCTGAACTATCTTTAATCATTTGACTTTTGGTTGGAAGATAAGTAAACTTATATTGCTCAAATCTGCTTTATTTTACCATTCAATTGTCCCTAGCTTAAATTTTAAATTATGATATCTTGCAACTGCATGCTGTTAAAAAGACCATGTGGTTTAAATATTATTTCATATACAAGAATTATGTCGCATGATAACAAAATTGATATCAAGCCTAAAGTAATAGATAAGTTTTTGATAGATACAATTTCAAAATGGACTCAAAATCATGTTATCTCAGCTAAAGTTATATCTATTTTTTTAAACACAATAACTTATCTGTCTTGGGTCAGGTGCTGCCTTTTTCTCTGTTGCAAAGAACTCCCTGCTAATTATTGACACTGTTATACCGAAATATAGTGATCTAGAGACAAGGTGGATTCATTGTTGACCAATTGTCATTATCAAATATATAACGTGGGAGTGATACCGGCATTATTAATTGGTGTAATTGTAGTAGATAGCAATGTCATTTGAGCAGTTTTTCTAATTTAATTCCTGTTTACATTAAATTAATATAGAGTAAATGCTAGTATTTGAAATGAAGTATTAAATAAATGCAATCTGAAAAATCTGACTATTTGAATATTACTGGAGGATGTAATGGTTTTGGGGTAACAAATATGTTCTACATTAGACAGGTTAACTGCTTGTCACTGTGTTATAATTGTCATTGTTATGTTTTGACAGGTTTAGTTCAAACTGTGTGTCAGTTTGTTTTGTTTGGACAGGTTTCTGTATGTGTTTCTCGACAGGTTTAATTATGTGTCACTTTTTTCTTTAGAATAGACAGGTTAACTGTAACTGTTCTCTTCAGACAGGTTAAACTAACTGTTCCCTTCAGACAGGTTTAACTAACTGTTCTCTTTAAACAGGTTTAACTCTCTGTTCCCTTTAGACAGGTTTAACTCTCTGTTCCCTTTAGCCAGGTTTAACTCTCTATTCCCTTTAGACAGTTTTAACTCCCTATTCCCTTAAGACAGTTTTAACTCTTTGTTCCCTTTAGACAGGTTTAACTCACTTTTCCCTTTGGACAGGTTCAACTGTCTGTTCCCTTTAGACAATTTTAAATCTCTGTTCACTTTAGACGGGTTTAACTCTAAGTTCCCTTTAGACAGGTTTAACTCTCTGTTCCTTTTAGACAGGTTCAACTCTGTTGACTTTAGACAGGTGTAACTCTCTGTTTTCTTTAGACAGGTTTAACACTATTCTCTTTTGACAGGTCAAACTCTGTTCCCTTTAGACAGGTTTACCTCTGCCTTAGACAGGTTCAACTATCTGTTGCATTAAGACAGGTTCAACTTGCAGATGTTCCTTCAAACAAGTAAATGTGTTCTGTTTTTACAGGTTTTATTGTATACATGAGTTCTGTTTAGCAAGGTTTAATTAAATGTAAGAAAATGCAAGTGTCCTTAAAGACAATATTAATGTAGTAACACATATATACTTAAACCTTTCTTTTAGGAACACCTGTATTTTCACTTGTCTAAAGAAAACGTTTAATTAACCTGTCTAGTAAAACAAAACACACCAATGGAGTATGCATAGTTAGCACACCAATGGAACATGCATAGTTAGCACACCAATGGAACATGCATAGTTAACACACCAATGGAACATGCATAGTTAACACACCAATAAAACATGCATAGTTAACACACTAATGGAACTTGCATAGTTAACACACCAATGGAACATGCATAGTTAAAACACCAATGGAACATGCATAGTTAACACACCAATGGAACATGCATAGTTAGCCTGTCTTAACAGAACAGACCTTGTGAACTTTGTGTGTTTCAATGGTGTCTTCTGTTTTAAAAAGTGTAGCTATTTTGATTTGTGGATAATTGTTCAAGTATGGTAGACTTTAAATAAAATCCATTCCTTAGATCAAATGTGTTTAATTTGGGCTTGATTTGTTGTTGTCCAGGTGAGGCCATTCAGTGCTATCAATGTGACAGTAACGAGGATTCCTCCTGCCCTACTGGACACTTCTTTGACACAGAGGTTAATGCACCTATTGACTGCAACAGTTTTGAAGCAAAAACTCCTGGGCAGTTTTGTATGAAAATAACACAAGAAAGTCCTGGATGTAAGTCACACAAACTTGTTATGTACACTCCAATGTTTTTATATAAAATAATTTTCAGAGAAGATACAAAAGATACTATAAGTAGTACATGTATGATAATCTGTGTTGTGATAATAATAAATTATGCAAACCATCTTGGCTCTCAGTTGCCTGAAGGAATCACTTAATCCTTTTGTATGAAACTTGATTCTGATCATGATCAGTAAACAGTTTTTTTTTTACGACATTTCTCTAAACAAACACTCTCATGTCCAAAACCCTGGATCTGTGTTAAGTTGTATTTGTGTTTTTGTTCTGACAGGGGGCGGCTGGAAAAAAATCACAAGACGCTGTGGATCCAGGACTGATTCTGGTGAGTTAGTTACGTTTTCAATGATCAAATGTTACTTATGCAATTATAATTTATTTTGTTATGTAAAATGGAAATATTTTTTTCAGTTTCCTTTAAATCAATGATTTAAGATAAAGTATTAGTAATTTCATGTATTCTTCACAAAATAATTGCTTTCAAATCTAATTACCTCCTGAGTATGGATTAGGATGGTGGACTTGAAACCCACTAAATTGGCCTGCTACAAATCAGTTTGATACAAATCATACACATTTCTGAGCTAACGAAAGTTAACTAAACTGTATGCACAATACAATAGTTTAAAAGATGTCTTATACTTGTGTTGCAGGTGTGGCATGGGGGTGCAGATGGTCCTGGGACCAAGTGGGTGTGTTCAAGGAGATCTGCTACTGCGAGTATGATTCTTGTAATGGAGCCACACGGTCTAGTCTTCAACTATTTCTAGGCATGGGAATCGCCGTCCTTGCATACATCACTAAACTAATACTGTGATGATCATTTTCCTCATTATCTCATCATCATACCATTTATACAGAAATTTAATATGCGGGGGAAAAAAGAAAAAAAAATACATACTGGTACATTGTACATGTATAAGGAAAAGTTTATGATATGAAACTGTAATGATGTGGAATTCAATATGTGTAAAAAGAAGATTTTAGGAAGATACATGCTTTGAGTATATTTACGAAATAACCATGTACTGAAATAAAGTCAAACAATAATTCTGGTTATACCTTATAATTTAATTCAATAAGTAAGGCAACCCTTTTTAATTGAGAGTTTGTGATATTTTTTCATTTCTGATAAAAACTTAATACTTTTTCACAAAACACAACATTGCCCATTACCAGTGATTTCTTCGCCAAGCAACTTCAACCAATCAGAAGTTAGAATTACAAATGCTGCGCCAAACATTGCGGTATACGATGTCATCACTTTTCGTGTTGTCTGTGTTTTAGGGTATAAGAATATAACCTGAAAAAATTACCATTGGGAGAATAGCCAAAATGAAAATATAACCATCATGCGATTATTTGCCTATAATCAGAAATTGGAGAGAATCTCTGAGAAAAGTGTAAATTTGTATGATGTCAAATGAAATGCATCTTTCTAATTTTTGAAGGTTTCCTTTTTAATTTGACAATTAATGTTTGGAATAAATGTAACTTCTTATTTTATGATGCATGATTACAACTGTACAAACGGTTCAATCTGCCATAAGGTATCACTGCATTAAGACATGTGCTTATTTCATTACAAATTCTCCTGTGAAAATATAAGTCATTGTGTGGAATTCTAATTGGTAATTATAACCTCATCCATATTGAAGTTTAGTCTTCATTTTGTGTTCTAGTTGAGATGATGCAATACAGACTGTATAGTGATACCAAACATGTTTAATTATACCCACATCACAATCTAATTATAGTTTCATCTTAGAACAGTGTGCGTAGGATACAAATTTATTTTTATAGGGAAAGAAAATATCAAAAAATTCATGAAGATAAAATATTTCCTATTTTTTTTTAAAGGATCCGGACACAAGTTTCTTCTCTGTGGATCGAAATCCTAATTTAGAATTTCTCTCCCAAGTATGAATAACATGGTGCAATTACACGGCTGTCAGAAGTCTTGAGCCAAGACCATTTATAGTACTTTGATTGGTTTAACATCTGGTCGTTCTAGTTTAGGATTTGATGCACAGATTTGGGACATATGTCACTTCTGTGGTGCAGACAGGTGCCATGGTCACTTTTGTCTATGCAAGATTGTATATGCCTAGTTAGATACCATAATGGGAAGGTTTATTCACTCACAGCTTTCCATTCTATATAGCACATTCCAAACGATTATAACACACAGATTCAATGCAATTCCACAATTGATATCTTATGCATTTTCTTAACTTGAACGAAATGTTGAAGTCTTTGCTTAGTAATTAAATATTTTCATTGCAATGATAATATATAATGTCATAATGTTACATTTGTATCTGCTATTTCCCTTATTATACAAAAATTTTGCAACATGCGAAATATTAATTGAAACTCAAGGTAAGTAATGTATGTATTTTTTAAAAACAAGGTTGCAGTAGATAGCATTGATAATAACCATTGTTAGTATAGAATGTTTTTTGCAAAATAAAATATGTGATACTTTTTTTCTTTTCAATGTTATTAAATATTCAAATGGCTTAGTAACATTGTCCATTTAATGTTACTCTGATTGGTTGACACTAAAAGTTCAGTCTAAATATATAAAAAAAAAAATTATGGGAATCCCTGTTTTTTGCATTACCTGGGTAGTTAAATAGAATTTGGTGCTGGGAATGTATTGCGTCCTACATTGAGAAGACATTATTTTACCTAAATGTTTTTCAAATGATGGGATTTGTCACAGATTAGGATGAATTTGTCTAGAAACGTGTTCAAATTAGAAGAACAGGTCATTAGATAAGTAGGAAATAATGCAGTAATGATTGAACATTGTATGTCGAGGACCTCCAGATGTCAACAAGGTGAATTCCTCATAATACCTAGGTCCATCTCGTTTTTATAATATAATATATGTGACTCGTCCATGTAATGTTTTGTTAATTGAATGTCAAGCCATGTTGGCTGTTTTGTGTGTCAAATACATGTAGTTAAATATTTTGGTTGCTTTATCGATATGAAAAGCACCACCATATCAAAACATATCAGACATGTATTATATTTTAGAGTACTTTTTATTAGTTTTACATGTAAATAATGATTTTTTAGACTTGTATATTTCATTGTAGATAATTTTATAATTGATGTACACATACATAACATTCCACGATGTATCCTAGATTAAGGTAATGAGTGTAAATAATTTGTAATCCAGACATTGATCAAATGCTATGTAACTTGCCTTTTGATCAGATATCTTCAAACTTATAAGCAAAATGAAACACACATTTGAACCTCGCTAATTCAAGCCTCACTAAGCTTAAAACCTTCTGATGCTTTTTCTTTATTAAATTCTTTTTCCATGACAGCAGTAATAGATGTCCACATCACATGAAAAAAAAAGGATTTCCATTCCCAAATTTTGTTTAGTAATCATCATATGCCTTTTGCAAAGCTGTTGGTCAAATTTTCATACAAAATTCAATAGACCACACATTTGATAATGATAAGGTATGTGGACATACAGTAGAATCCTTTGTAGGCAAATGCATGCCCTGTTGGGGGCCATCTACAAAGTGTGCATATTAAAAAAAAATGCAGAAACAGGCCAGTCTGATATGGAAATTCACATTTCATTTATTTGGATTCGTTAGATTTAAACTCTTCCCTGAGTAACCAACAAATTAACGAGGTTTGTAATGTGGTCATTTTGGATATTTTATTTGGGACTGATACATTTGTAAATTGAAAAAATAAACAACAAAAAACTGTCAAAAAAAGCTGTGAAATTTTAAGTTAAGTTGATTGTTCTTTATTATCTTAATAAATTTATTACATTTTTTTTTTAGCAATTTTAATTTTCTTTTGGTTATTTTTTATTAATTGTTTAAGCGGACAAATAGCTTAAAAATAAAGCAGCTAGAATAAGCCTGATACAATTTTGTGCTTGTATGCTTTTTTATACATATAAATATTTAAGGTATAAAGTGCTAGAAACTAGAACTTGTGCTTTTTTTGAAAGGCAGAACCCACATAATGCATAGCTCTACTTTTGATTTGTACATGGAATTTAAAAAAATTAAAAAAATAAATTACAGTTTAAAATGACCATAATACAATTCTATATGTACTTATATCAAGTGAGACCACAGAACTCAGTGTAATTAAAACATATCAAGTCTTCTTTTTTTCTCTCCAAATAACATTTTATTACATTCCTCAAATTTTTATCTATACATGTTTTGGTGGAATTGTGATTTCCCACTTGGTTGTGATCCTTTCCAAATTGAAACTATTTTCAAGTCTAATTGTTTTATGGTTGAATTTATAACAAGCAAATGTGCATTCCTTACATTCAAAGGTTGTTTGTTTAAATAGCATGTAAATAAGAAAAATATTGATGATTGAATTCAGTTGTATATAATGTAAATGATTTGTAGAGCGATTCCATTTGTAAATTTACATGCAATCAGCAGCCATCCAATTTTCATATTTTGTAAGTAATAAAAAAAAATGATAATTGATATATTTTGTTAGTTATTATATTGAATTAGCTGAAGTAATTGTCAGTCAAATGAAGTGTTTTATGAGCACTGTATAATAAATATGTACTATCCCGAAGTTACGCTGTGAACTTGCTTTACAGGGAGAATCCTTGTATAGCTTATTTGACATATTTCATTGATGCTTGACCTTTGACACTTAATTTATACTCCCTTTTTCCGTATTGTAAACACTAGTACTCCCATTAAAAAATAACCAACAACAGACTTTTCACTGTTATGATAGCTATATATATATTCCGTCTTTGCATATTGCAGAGTTATCTTCTCTTATGAGCAGGTAGTGATTAATTGTTGTCGTTGGTTTGTGTGAGAAAAATACGTTTTCTCAAAAATTGATGACGTTACTCTCACAAACCAATGACGTAACAATCAATACCTGCTCACAAGAGAAGATAACTCTGCAATACGAAAAGACGGAATAGATGGACCATTGACAACAGTAAAGGTGTGGAGTCCAAGTGTACTGATGCAGCCATAGGTGTGTTAATATGACAGCACTATACATTATATGACTGGCATTCACATTTTGGTGGTTAATTTCAATGTGAACTATGGAACATATTTATAGACTTTGGAGATCCAACTTCTTATGAATACTAAGAAGGTATATAAAACAATTAGACAGATGTAAACCTGGTAATCATTATCATGTGTAAATTTTCGAATCAGCAAATGGTGATTTAAACAAGAATAGTGTCCTTAGTTCTTTGATAAAGTATGTGTTCCAACAAATTCTATTATTACAAATATTAATGTCACTATTGTAAAATATTTGTTTAAGACCTTTCAAAAGAAATATATCATAAAACTCATGTGTTGCCATGTATTTGAAAGTACTAAAAGTTGTTTGAAAATAGAAATCAAAAATATATCAAGAAAACTGCAGAGGTCAAACTAGGAACCTTTACATTACAAATCCTACACTTAACCAATCTTGCCACACATGAATTATACAAGCACAGCATCAAAATGAGTGTCCAAATTATTGGCCATGCACAAAGCATGTATAATGAATGATACAGGAGAAGTTACTCTATGCCAGAAAAACACCTTTACATCACTTCAGTCAAAAACTCGGAGTGGACCTCTTCTTCAAGGTTAAAGCTGATACATTAAGTTTATCTTCAGCAACCAAGGTAAACTTTTGGTCAAGATTGAGTCTTGATACTACAGTAAGTACCAAATACATCTCGAGGTGAACGGGCAGAAGTTCATAATCTCTAGTTTGTCTATTATCCTTGAACACCTTTCAGTGTCTAACAAACAAGAGTAAAACAAAATCTAAATTTGATCACTGTTGTTATATAATTCTATTAATTTAAATCAATATCTGCATAAAAAGCTGTAAACACGTAGGATTTCCGAAAAAGGGTTTATGGAAGGATTAATGCAATATATCATGTGTGATATAAATATTATACAACCTGGGGGTGGTGAGGTATGTATATTAAAACTTGCACTAAAATTCATTTACACTATATACAATGTTCGTCTTCAATGCAATGTCTATAATCTTACATTGGGGCGATAGTAGTGCAGCTTAGGATAAGGTTGTATAAGGATAATTTGGTCTTTAACGCCTTTATTTAACAAAGTTTAATCACAGCTGTTCTGTAGTCTCTAAAAAAGGTGAATATATTTTGATGAAATGTTTTCATTAATAGTCACCTGACCTATTCCCACCCACAATCTGCACACTATGTTGGACCTGTCCCCATCTTATGTGTGTTGGACCTGTCCGTTGCTGCTTTGTTGGACCTGTCCCCATCTTCTGTGATGGACCTGTCCCAATTACTGTGTATTGGACCTGTCTCCATTAACTCTGTGTTGGACCTGTTCTATCTAAAGTGTGTTGGACTAGTCCCCATTAACTGAGTGTTGGACCTGTCCCTATCGACTTTGTGTTGGACCTGTCCCCATCGGCTGTGTAGGACCAGTCCCCATCCACTGTGTGTTGGACCTGTCCCCATCCACTGTGTGCTGGACCCGTCCCCATCCACTGTGTGTTGGACCTGTCCCCATCCACTGTGTTGGACCTGTCCCTGACCACTGTATGGTGGACCTGTCTCCAATGACTATGTGTTGGACCAGTCCCGACCACTGTGTTGGACCTGTCCCCGACCACTGTGTGTTGGACCTGTCTCCATTGACTATTTGTTGGACCTGTCCCTGACCATTGTGTTGGACCAGTCCCTGACCACTGTGTGTTTGACCTGTCCCTGACTACTGTGTGTTGGACCTGCTACTCTAACAAGGCTGACTGGTTAAGGTGTATGACAATCTACAATCACTAGCCCTCCAACACTAAGCCACAGGGCCAGTGCCTATATGTGGCAGTCGCCAGGTACTGGCTTTAAGTCAGTGTTTTTCTCCAGGTATTCCAGTCTTCTGCCATCACCAAAACCGGGCTTGTCATTAAAGCTGTCAGGATGTGAAGCACAAACCAACCATACTGGGTTACTCCAGGTGAAATAAAATAGAAGATATGCCCAGGGCAATCTATTCGGATGGACGGAATGCAGATGGATCCAAGAACAGAAGGAAGAATTGACATATTGAAAGTGAACTTATAGTTCCCACCAGGAACCAGTTGGGGACTAGTGTTGTCAGGTGAGAGTAAACATGAATTAAAAACAGTCTATGAGTTATAGTTAAAGGATCCCTGTTCCTCTGCAGGCTAACTACTGAGAGTTCCACTGTATTTTATATAATCTATATACAATTTTCTCCTATTAGTTTTATTTCAAAAACAACAAACAATGTACTGTTGTTGGCCAGGTAGCTCAGTTGGTAAGTGCACCAGTATAATGACTGGAGGTCAAGGTCTGGGACAGTTGTGCACATTTGTCTCCTTTACAAGAGGCCCAGAGGGCCTGTATCGCTCACCTGCATACCAAAGCAATCATGGCAAAATATTCTCCAAATGAGATCAAGGGAATATACCAGACCCCGAGGACAATCCTTGTAGCATATCTTTTTTAGATTCTTCATGCCCAGCAATTTTATGTATGGTTATGGGGATCTCAACTGTTTCCAAGCTTTGACTCAGAAACTAGGTCCCTAGGGTTGTGGCAAGACCCCAGGATCAATTCTAATATCGTGACTGCACTTGTCTCTTTTTGCCCAGCATTTGTATATATAGTTTTGGGGTGGGGATCTCGACAATTTCAATGTTATGACCCAGGGGTTAAGTCTGCAAGGGTGGGGCAGACCCTGGGGTCAATTCTAATATCATGACTGCATTCGTCTTTTTATGCCCAACAATTGTATATATAGTTTTGTGGTGGGGATCTTAACCATTTCAAAGTTATAACCCAGGGGTTAAGTCTCCAAGGGTGGGGCAGTCCCCAAGGCCATCCTGGAAGCATATGTGCAATCATCTCTTTATACTCAGCAATTGTATATACCGTTATAGGGTGGCGCTCTCAACTGTTTCCAAGCTGTGACTAACAAACTATGTCCCTAGGGGTTTGGTCAGACCCCAGGGTCTATTCTGATATCATGACTGCATTCGTCTTTTTATGCCCAGCATTTGTATATATAGTTTTGGGGTGGGGATCTCAACAGTTTTAAAGTTATGTCCCAGGGACTATATTTCCAAGGGTGGGACCAGACCCTATAGCCATCCTGGAAGCAAATGTGCATCCTTCTCTTTATACTCAGCAATTGTATACCATGGTTATATTCTGGGGATCTCAACCAGTTCCAAGTAATACACTTTTTTTGGCCCCACCCCTTAGCCCGGGGGGTCAGCCCGACCATTTGTACAATTTTGAATCCCTGCCTCCCATGAATGCTTCCGACCAAATATGATCAATATCCATGGCATAGTTCTACAGAAGAAGTCGTTTATAGCAATATAGCCAAATTGCCCCTTTTTTGGCCCCGCCATTTGTATAATTTTGAATCCCCACCACCTAGGGATGCTTCCAGTCAAATATGGTTGATATCTACCTCTTAGTTACAGAGAAGAAATCACTTATAGCAATATTGCAAAATTGACCCCTTTTTGCCCCGCCTCTCAGCCCCCTGGGGGGTCAGCTCCATCATTTGAACAATTTTGAATCCCCGACACCTAGGGATGCTTCCACTTAAATATGGTTGATATCGACTTCTTAGTTCCAGAGAAGAAGACGCTTAAAGCAATATAGCCAAATTGACCCCTTTTGGCCCCACCATTTGTACAATTTTGAATCCCCACCACCTAGGGATGCTTCCAGTCAAATTTATTGAATTCCAATCAGTGGTTAGGAAGAAGTCGTTTAAAGAAATTGTTGACATACGGAGTAAAGTATCTTGCTCAAGGATACAACACATTGCCGTGCCGTGGCGCGAACCCGCAACCGTTCGGTCAGGAGCCCGGCGTCCTACCACTGGACTACCATGCCTCCTACTTGGACTACTGCTGTTTATTTGGTTCTCAAGGTCCAGCCATGGTACTTTCATTGATAAGATTACCGCTCAAAGATGTAAGCTTAAAGGAATCATACCATACCAGTCAGAACATTTGTACAGACAAACTACATACATACACAAAACAAACACACAGTGTAAAGTTTAGACATGTACTGTATTTAAAAGAGGAATACTGTTGTTGTATTTCACAATCTGGACAATCAATGTTTACTCCCATCGCTGTATCACATGACCTTTACACATCTCTCTCACTTTCTTGTATCACACTCTCACTTACCTTAGGTATTACACATACAGTTTGTCAATACATTTACACTGACAAACTATATATGCATACACAAAATAAACTCACTTTTAACACAATACCCCACCCACACACAAACACAGTGTACAGATATTACAACTGTCCATCATGTTATTTACAATCTGACATAAGATCAGGTGAAACATTCACAAAGATGCAGAAAGAGAGAGGGAGACAACCAGAATATTGAATGAAAGTTAAAGGTTAAATACTTCCACAGGAACTAGATATAATAGTTCTGACACACGACAATTACACGGTAAACAGTTATCAGACATGTATCGTTATGGTCACAGAACAGGAATTTTATTTCTATCAATATGGCAAGATTTGGATCACTTTGTTTGCAATTCAAGCTTATTTTCATTAGAGGTTGGATCTCATAAATTGACAGAAACTCAAATTCCTGTGATCTAAGTTATACATGTACATACTTGCACCACGTATATAACCAAGCTAGCACGACACTAAAACCATGTATCCTGATCAACAATAACATATATTACTATTGTGTCTAGTCCCTGTGAGTTAACCAATACAATGAATATCAAGCATTGAGGCTACAATCACAAAAGGAAGAATGTTTACCCTAGAAAAATAAATTAAAAAAAACCTTGCTTTAACCAGCAACATCCTCCAATTGTATAAACCACCATAAATATAACACACCAGTTTCATTGTGTTCCTAAGGTTTCAGACTGATAAACATTTTAATCAACACAGAGTATATAGTTATAAGAGAGGAGGCAAGCCTTAGTTACATGATGAGTATTGAGTAGCTGTGTACATCTATCAAACCATGCATATATTCATGGATTTGTACCATTACATTTGACTCACACTGTACCCCTTTAAAAAGTGAGAATGTGATTGTAGTGATTGAGTAACAAGTGACTTATGACATCATGATGTATGAGGCATCAATACAGCATTGTATGCATACAGTAAGATTGTATGATAAAACATTGTAAGCAGGTACACTGAATGTAGTAACATTGTATGCTGGAACACTGTATTTAGTAACATTATATGCTGGAACACTGAATGTAGTGACATTGTATGCAAGAACTGTATGTAGTAACATTATATGCAAGAACACTGAATGTGGTAACATTATATGCTAAAACATTGTATGTAGCAACATAGTATGCAGGAACACTGAATGTAGTAACACTGTATGTAATAACATTGTATGCTTACACATTGTATGTAGTTAGATTGTATACAAGAAAACTGTATGTAGTAACAGTTGCACTGCATCGTTATAAAATAGAATAGCACAGAAATTGATGTTAAGAACTGAAAAGATTTTATAGCCGAGTATATGGCCTATGGGGTTACAATCCTATGTATCCAGAAAAATGTTACAATATGTTTCTACATAAAATATTACTTTGTTTGCAAGATCTTTAGATGCTTTAGTGACTGTTTTTCATGAAAAAAAGGAGAATTGAAACATTTTCCAGTTAATGATAAATGAGTATAACTTACTATTTACTAAACATCCATGTTTTATACATTTATAACAACATTCCTGTCAATAACATCCAACTCCTAACTAGGTGTTTTGTAAGTACATGACAAACATTGTAAAATACTTAAATTTTGAAAATTAATTGAGCTGTACCATACCAAAGACCCACATAAATAGTAAAGGACTGAACTGGACATCAAAACCATGCAACAAATTTTGATTCATTAATGGCGAGCAAATTTAAGCTCGCATAATCAGAGCATCAACATTATTTTATTCTTACATAATGCAAGTTTAAAAGTTGATTCGAAAATTTATTGAGGTTCTTCTAGAACTCATGATACTTTGGTATAGCGCCTCTATCTAAGACACAATATTCTGTATACCATTAATATTTCTTTCTCTCACTATTCCTGTTAATATGGTATATCAGTTAAAACATCATACCAGTCTTACAAAGTTAAACCTTGTTTTACTGCCACCATTTGGTCGAAAATCTATACAAATAAATAGAAAACAATGAAAAACACTTATTATAAACACATGATTCTCCAATAATACAATTTGATTTGTGATTTGGATAAATAAAATCACATTTTAAAAAGTTGTATGCAGTTTCAGGTAAATATGAAACATCATGAGTTTTACATATATTTAGAATTCGAACTTACTAACACAGATACATTTCGAATACAGATACATGTCTGAATACAGATACATGTCTGATTACAGATACACGTCTGAAAACAGATACATGTCTGAATGCAGATACATGTCTGAATGCAGACACATGTCTGAATACAGACACATGTCTGAATGCCCTTGTTTTTAACTTTCAAGTATATTTATCATTTCATGAAGTATCCATTTTATTTATTTCATAATCCATACAACCATCCACTCTGATGTTAATAAAAGATATGACTCTTAGGCTCTTAAGACTAGATTGCACATTGTATAATCTCGTACATGACCCGTTCAAGCTGTACACACACCAGTCTACACACCAGCTGTCTACACCTTTTTGTGTTTATTAAAGCATACTGGCAGCATACTTATGTATTCTGATAAAATAATTCATGTTTTGTTTGCAGCATTGTAATCGGATTTGATTTTAATATTCCAGTACTAGAATAGCATTTATGAATTACCAAAGGGGAGATAATCTAATAATTTATGTGTTGACAGGGGAGAAAATCATTTATGGGGAGGACAAAATATGTCTCATACATGTAACAATAGTTTTAAACAGTTAAGCATTAAGTAATTTTCAAATAAATTGCAAGGAACAAAAGCTTACAATTGCTCTTACACAAGAGTATGTATCTTATATACAGGTGCTGGACACACATACAAATATGCATAATGTGTAGATAGCTGTACTATATAATTTCTGTAATACTTAATGTTTATACGTGTATATATAAATATTATATACACACATGTATATGCATAATACGATTTTGTGTGTCCAGCACCTGATTTTAGATTAACAAGTCCCAACAACACACATGCATGCCTTATATGTTAAAAACATAAACATAGAGTACTGACAGAAAGCACATATAGTGTCCTTGATCTTGGTTAATGGTATATTACAAATCGTGCTGCACACTTACAAACATGACTGACATACACAAAAGCCATTGACCTTATCCATAATCCCATTTCACACCTTAAAACCAATGAGGACCTTTTTGTTTTTGCTAAATTAATAAATTGATCAAATGATTTTTTTTCAAATTAAAGCAATACAGAAAAATTTAAATACTTATCCTACAGGCTCAAACATCTGGTTGACTTACACACAATCTTAATTAACTGTCACACTATTCTCAAACCAGAAACAATGTCTTTAATGTCTTACTTACTTACTATTACATGTATTAGGTAATACACATCAACTGATTGTTTCCAACAGGAGATACAGAGGTAAATGAAATTACTCTGTCCTTAAAGTTTGAAACTTGGACCGACACCTCTGACTTATGTAAATATGGGTGTTTATAATGATGAATTAATGTGATATGTAAGGTCTTTTCCCACATTATGAAATTATGAAAAAAAAGCAAAGTATCTTGTGTTTAATTTATTAAAGAATCACATTGTGTTTCCCTAGCTAGCCTTCATATTCACTACCTCTCAATACACACATGGTCTGGTATAGGACACACTGAAACTCTCACAAACGAATAATTTATAGTTCTACACAAACTTGATTATAAAAAGTCTAGTTTAAGAATTATTTCTCTCTCCATTAAACAGTTGGAAACTGATAATGTCTAGAATTTTAACTATCCAAAAAGTTGACTGTATCTTATACAGCACACATGCAATAAGACATAAACTTGAATTGTCTTCTACACTTTGTACATGAATGGATATGATCTGTGTAACTAAAAGTTTCCAGAACTTGTTCCCCTCAATAAATATTTACGAAAATTGTGCTATATCTCAAGAACTTAGACTTAATTTAACTTAATTTAACATGCACAAAGCATGTATGACGATGTATATATATATTCCCTGTAAATCTTGATACTGGCAGTTTTCAAGGGAGACGATTACCATGCTGACAGCTGGTGCTATTAGCTACACCAGGGATTGACATCACATAGGACTAGTCAGGAAGCTCTCAGCAGTACTCTGTTCTCCACAGGGGTCATCGCTCAGACATTTACATTCAATATCTAAATATCAAACATATGTCCACAGTTATCAAGATGTTCACATTCAACATCAATGCTATGTCTGAGGGTATTCAGACATTCACATTTAATAGGAAAAATGTCAGCAGATTAGACATTCACATGGATATTTGATCAGATCACACCTACGACTGCAGATATTCAAACGTTCGCATTCAATGCCTAAATATCAAATCCATGTCTATCTATCAAGTCAATCTACATTCTGTTATTCCTATATTCTATGGTGAGCTCCATGACTTGTGTGAAACACCCTCACAAACTTCCTCTTGTCCACTAGGGGGCGTTACAACATGCACCTGCATTCGTCCATAAACTATATTTAAGTGTGGCAGTGACTATGATCCCCGTCGTAAAATCCTGTAGAGCACAAATCCCACGCTGGCAAGTACAGCCACACCGATCCCTACACGTAGATACCCATTCTCCTCCTTCATCACAACACCCTTCATATGACTGTAAATATACAAGGCAAAAACACATCAACATTGGAAATCTAACAGTGTAAATACACAAGGCAAAAACACATCAACATTGGAAATCTAACAGTACATAGCATTTACAATTATCTTCAAACTCAATTCTGTTTATAGAAATAGTAACCTAAAGATCATGTACGCTAAAGTATCAAACCATCATACAATGTAGTATGTCAAATGATGGTAATGTTTGTTTACCAAATATGGGAGTTTATCAAAGTAGGATGAATTATTTCATGTCATTGGCCTTTTGGGCTTGAAATTGAATGTGGTACTAAGTATATGAAGTATATCAACAAGCTTAAAAATTATAGATCACCATATTACAGAGACTACATGTAGTTTTCATTTCAGGAGACATTACACATATATCTGTATAAGGAGGTCACAAGCACAGACAAGTAGGTCTGGTCAATCAGTTTACTGAACAGTGTATCATCCTAAGACTGTTTCCATCCATGCAGCAAGATACATCTAGATGTAAGCAAATCAAGGTGCACATTACATTCAATTATTTGTCTTCATTTGAACTTGGGAATATGACCACTGTAAAAGCAGACCTGTAGTATAACATGGTATTAGTATATGTGGTGTGGAAATGTACACAATGGCAGTGCTTCTGCTAAACCTATTTCAGAATGTGTCTAATTATTCGTGTTTGTAATTCTATGGTGTCAGATTAAGCAAACATTAAGTTTACAAACTATTTCCACAGCACAAAATGTCCACCAAAAAAGGAACTAAAAGCACCAATAAACTGTAGTTTTATTCAGAACAGACATGATTTCTGATTACAAAAGTTTACATAGAAAGGTATAGCAAGGGATTACGCTGAAGTTCTGATTTATCCTGTTTAGACAGGTTTCACAGCTTCACTTTACTCATTCTGGTGCAGTAGTTATAATGTTGGTGATCAACAGAAAGTGTCAAATATAGGTAGGTAAGTGCATTACTTTAAAAATCAAAAGTTAACTACAGACCTGTTACAGGTAAAGCCTTATAAATGGCCACAGACTCACAACTAATGACCTAGCAGTGCGCACAATCAAACACTTAACTGCACATTATGAATGAATCCAAAACTAAAGTACAGTAAAAGAATGCAGTTTTAAATTGTAATATTTTGTGGGTTTTTTGCATAATAGATCATTTTCTTTAGATAAAATGTATTATCATGGACTTAGATACTAATTCTGTGGTATTATGCAGAAAGAAATTGGAAAAAATAACAGCTGATCAAAACTGGAAAAAAGAGTCATGCTAGGTTCTAACACTGCAATATTAAAAGCATGCATCACATATATTGTAAACAAAAGTTGATTTACTCCTGGATTAAAACATGTACATAACAGTAAATGAAAAGTTTCAGTATTCTAGATTACAACCCTATATATGAACATACCTTTACTGGAAAAGGCTGCACCACAATAAGGATATTTCGACGGGACATATTCTTTCTTATCTATTGTTAATTCTTTAAAGTTATTGCTTATGGCCTCTACTCCCTGCCCTTTCTAATCACAGACAAGTATATGTTCTTGTTTAACCAGCTCTATATCAAGTCTCATATCCTTCATAATAACACATTGATGGAAAATATCAATCTATACATTTTCTATAAAGAAATTTCACATTTTAAATTACTGATAATAAACACAAATTTATCAAAATTTTCAAACATTTTACAAAAATAAATGATTTTTTTAAATGTTTAATACATTAGTATACCAATGAAGCTTCCTGACCCTGATGCTGTACTTTAAGGAGGGAAGTTATTACAACATGATAATCACCATTCTTAATTAGTATACAACTCCACCCTTGTGATAAAGAATAGAGATACAGTGAATATGTGAACATGTTTGAAATGGAAGATACATTATCCTCCGATTTCTCAATGTCCCAGCGTAAAATCAAAATTTGAGTAGTATTGCTATGACTTACATCAACGTTCTACATCTACAATGTTAAGAATAAAGTTATAAATAAACAAAAGGGAATTTCTAATGAGTTAAGTGACTGGATGCATGGTCTGGGCTATCTTGTTTTAGTATACAGTGTTCTCTGTAGATGTCAAGTGACAAACTGAACAGTCAAATAACAAGATACTCAGTTTTTAAAAGCTTCTGGGTCTTTTTTTAGAAACAAAGTAATTTAGAAATTAATTATTGTATAATATTACTTCCCTTTGAAGATAATTTTTATAACAAACTCAGGATTTAAAATTCGCTTCAAAATCGCTATTCTTATGAATCACCTTGGAGAACCGTAAAAGTTGAAGTTTTCATAGTGTGGAAATACTCACGATTTCCATGTTGAGTGAATTAACACAAAAATATCCACACAGTAATATATAAATATGTTTTAAAACCATTGCCAATATGAAAATGTCCACACCGTGCACATGATCAGTTTAAAGAGTCATAAAAGGAATATTTCAAAAACCAAGAATTTCCCCTTTTACAGTCAATTGGACTTGTTTTATAAATGCATGCTTTATAGTCACTTGTTTCTCAGAGAGAACACAGCAGTGTAACCTGGGTTAATATTTACCGAGTACATATGTATACATATATAGAAATCTGATTTCCTATCCCATAGATACAACAGACACAACACCTGGTGGTTACATGGAGGGCAGTAAGACAGAACAAGCAGGCATGCTACATAAAATAGGTACAATATAAACACAAAGAACGATAGGGGACCTGAATTTCTCCTCCAGCCACAGTGGGTTCTGCCGCACCAACAACATGTGTACCAGGCGCTTCAAATTGCTGAAAATAATCAAGGGGCGAGTCAAAGTACACTAAACTACTAAAGTTAAGGAATTATATATATCAGGCAATACATGAACTTCCGTGATAGCAATCTTATAACCCAAACTTATTGAAACTTTTATTTCAATAATATGTTGGTGTACAAAATAACACAACTTCACCAAAAACAACTCCTTTTTAGTAGTTTAGTAACATACTCACAAACTACAAAGGCCAGAGTTAGACCTATTAAAGAATCCTTTTAGAGCAAAAGTTTGTCGGGAAAACTGGTACCTATTGTAACCTACAAACAACTTAAACTTCAGTCATAGTCCAGGAGTTAACAGGAAATCAGACAACTGGCCAATACTATGAACCTACAAACTACTTTACTCTCAGCCATAGTCCAGAAGCTAACAGGAAATTGGACAACTGGCCAATACTATGAACCTACAAACTACTTTACTCTCAGCCATAGTCCAGAAGCTCACAGGAAATCGGACAACTGGACACTACTGTTAACCTACAAACTATATAATATACCCTCTGTCATAGTTCAGAGGTTAACAGGAAATCGAATAAACTATATACCTTCAAACTATATACCGGTAATATACCCTCAGTCGTAGTTCAGAGGTTAACAGGAAATCAAATAAACTATATACCTACAAACTATATACCGGTAATATACCCTCAGTCGTAGTTCAGAGGTAAACAGGAAAATGAATAACTGGCCAGTACTATATACCTACAAACTATATACCGGTAATATACCCTCAGCCGTAGTCTAGAAGCTAACAGGAAATCGGACAACTGGCCAAGACTATATACCTACAAACTATATAATATACCCGCAGCCATAGTCCAGGAGTTATGAGGAAATCGGACAACTGGCCAATGCTATTTACCTACAAACTACTTTTCTCTCAGCCGTAGTCCAGATGTTCATTGGAAATCGGACAACTGGCCAATGCTATTTACCTACAAACTACTTTTCTCTCAGCCATAGTTGAGAAGCTTATAATTACAGGAAATCGGAGAACTGGCCAATAATATTAACCTATAAACTACTTTACTCTCAGCCGTAGTCCAGAAGTTAACAGGAAATCGGAGAACCGATAACCTCTTCTAACTACAGAGTATACTACCAGCTGTAGAGAAACACTCACATAACATGGGTTTCTAACATATATTGGTCTGATAATAATACAAGACTAATAGACTGACAGACTGGTGTCACAAAATAAAAAGGTCACACTATGAATGTAACCCAGAGTAAAAAGTATGTCATCAAATACAAAACTAGCTTTAAAATTCAGATATAGTGTGATTGTAGTGAAATTTGAATGAGGATGCATAAGGAAGTGCTTTGTGACGGATGATTAATATGGAATTGCTTCAATAAGTACTCAATACCTCCAAAAGGTTAACAAATTGTTCATCAACAATTAATAAGACTATAAATTCAAGACCTGGGTATAATATCATATTTCAAAATATCTTGAGGAAAATTGGTCAGGCCTAAAAAGGTCTTTAAACATAAATAAAACACACACAAAAAAGATAAATATTCATCAATTTAAAACATCAAAAGCCATTTTTCTAAGGAGTAATAAGGATTGAAATATATTGGCTTTTTGCATGAAGCAACGAAACGATGAAAAATAAACATGACAAATTATGAAAAAGGAATGAATGAAAATGAGAGTAAAACACAACATGGTAACCTTCTGGTATCAAATCGTATCCAGACATAACATACATCACCACATGTTACAAAGTTATATATAACAGCACATGTTACAAAGTTATATATAACAGCACATGTTACAAAGTTATATATAACAGCACATGTTCATTGATCACATTCCAAATTAATGGTCCAGTTGAACCAGTGTTCATTCACAAATTAGGCTGAAACCTACTGATCTGGTGAGGATTTTGGCAAAGCTAGCTTGTTTCTTGTTAGAATTTCCACTTCAAGTACAAAATAAATTGGGTATGCCACTTTAAAATAGAAAATAATAATTGTTGAACAGTGCAAGGAACACAGTTGTCTGTGGTGTGACTGCAGTGTTATCAAAGGATAGGAGTTGAGCCAGGAATAGTAAGACAGATACATACGGGTAGGCAGCCATGGTGGCTAGCTTTATGTACACCTCCCGGTTCACTTTGTCAATGGCAGAGAAGCTCTGAGGTGGTGGGAGCTTGAACTTGCTACAGAACTGGGCAGGTGTGAGTTCATAGTCCTGGCGCACAGCCTGGTATTCTGTCTTAGCCGCGACCACCAGGGTAGGAATTCGGCTGTCCAGGAAGTGTTTCTACAAGTCAACATAAGGTCTTCAAATAGTCATTACTTACCAGATTTTAAAGATTTGATTAATCAAATCTATAACATCAGTTTTCATAACAACACGTCATCAATGAAGATGAATTTTGAGTAGACAGATTATTTGGACAGTAGGTAGAATTTTAACTGTATTAAGCAGGACTGCTATGTCTGGAAAATAATGTTTCAAATAAGTATTTTTGATTAATGAAAGCAAAAAATATTGAATGAAATCAGATGCATCTAACAACATTAAATTTTATATTAAATCTGTTTTAGGTTAATCCGTTCAAAACTGAGTATAAGTTATAACGGAGATTTTAGATTCTAAACTGATCCCATTCTGTACTTACCAGGTACATTCTAGCACAGAAGTCAAAGCTGCGGGGGTTGGTGGAATCATATACTAAACAAGCCACATCACAATTCATCTCAGTAGGGTTCAACATGTCACATACCGACACGTCCACCTCATGTAGCTATAAAACATATACAAACATTATCAACAATGAAGGATGATTTTATGAAAAAACATTTTAAAGTTCGACCTCTCTAAGCAAAATTCTATTTTTCTATTTATTTGAATATCAGATATGTAAATCACAGTCTTCCTTACAATTTCACAAATATCCCAAAAAACCTGCTTTCTCATGTAGCACAATACTTTTAAGAAATTCTTAAACACGTATCGCTTTTGTTCCTCTGTATGATTTCTCCTTCCACACAAGTACCCACCTACTGTTGGCCATCATCACAGTGACACTCTAGACTAGCATGTGTTAGTAACATTAACATGTATGGTAGATAGTCAGTAATTCAATATAGAAATCATTATGTTCAAACTCAGTAAAAGACCCATCATAACTAGCGACTGTTGGGGTGACTTCATAAACATGTTTTACACAGACTCGTCCTGCTATTGAAGTACATATTCTTCACTGGTATGTATTGCACTTACATTTACACTAACAAAAAGGAATGGATAAGGTAAGTATTTCAAAACCTACCGAGTGCATTAGCTGCATATTAAACGAAACATCCACTAGTAAATTAAAATGAATTATTTCAGATATTCTATTAGATATTTTAAGTCTAAAATATTAAAATTATTAAAAATGTTTAAAAAAAAAGGTACATTTGAGCCTATTTATATCAGTTTCTGATCTTACCGTTAGATGGTACTTACCAGTAAATATTTTTCTTGTCCGTAAACTTGAACTGTATTAATTGTAAAACTGGACAAATGTTCCTTATTCAGTGTCGCTATATACCTCAGATTTCTACCTAGATGTCCTTGTAAGAAAGTACTCTGAAATAAAATAGAGGCAAAAATAGATATATTTATGACAAACATCTTAAACATTTCATGTTGTGTAAACAAGTCTTAACATTACTGTTTGGTGAATATTTCAAATGTAACAAGAAAATTCTGCAGCATTAAACATATCTGATATCAAAGTTTGTAAAATGTCAGCTCAAATATCTTTTATTCCTTGTACAGAAAACTTCCAAAGAAATAATAGCTTTCTTATTATATAAATTGATACCTGTTTTTGGTGCTTGGAATAAATTAAACTGGAGTGTAACAACTGTAAAAGCCTTCAGTAAGATGTTAGACGTGTAGCTTACCTTGCCAACACCTTTCGTTCCCAGGACATAACACCTGAACACATTTCTGCTGGTTTGCTTTTTGTCTAGGTCTATTTTTTTGTCTCTAGTTACTGTGGGGAAAAAAAGAAAGGAAATGCACAATTTTTCGTGAAAATCCTTGAAAGGGAATGGTTATGGGATATTATAATAATTATATGTACATGTACTTAAATTTAACAGCAATATCATATTTGTAATTGGCTGAACCACAGTTGCAAAAAAAAAAAAAATGGACTTTTTATTGAGTCCCTTTTGCACAAGGATGCCCCAGACTAAATTAGGATAAAATCCCTTAATCCTTATGGTAGAAGAAGGATTATAAAGGTTTTACTTCTATTTCCTCTATTGGGCCCCGCCCCTCAGGTCCCAAGGGAGGCGCCCACTGTTTATACAAAATTGGTTCCCCTTTACCCAAGGATGCTCCACACCAAATATGGAACAAATCCTTTCATTCCTACAGAAGAAGAAGGATATTAAAAAATTTGCTTTATTTTCCCTTTTGGGCCCAGCCCCCAGGGGGACCAGCCCCACTGTTTATACAAAATTGGTTCCCCTTTACCCAAGGATGTTCCACACTATTATGGAACAAATCCTTTCATTCCTACAGAAGAAGAAGGATTTTAAAGAATAAGTTGCTATGTTTCCCCTATTGGGCCCTGCCCCTCAATTCCCTGGGGGGCCAGACCCACTGTTTATACAAAATTGGTTCCCCTTTACCCAAGGATGTTCCACACCATTATGTAACAAATCCTTTCATTTCTACAGAAGAAGAAGGATTTTAAAGAATAAGTTGCTATGTTTCCCCTATTGGGCCCTGCCCCTCAGGTCCCTGGCGGGCCAGACCCAAGGTTTATACAAAATTGGTTCCCCTTCAACCAAGGATGCTATGGTCCTTCGGACCAGGTGAGCTAAATATTGAACAGTATGACCAATAATGAACACCTACATCAATAATATTTATCTTTATCTTTGATCTTTCTGGTCAAGATGAACACCACAACTAACCTGTTATTGCAGAGAGTTGACTTTCCTGATGATAATGGTAACCTAAGTATGCTAAATTCTCCACTGTCCTCGGCACGTCTAGTAGTGTTGTTAATCTGAAATAAAAATGAAAAAAAGTTCATATTTTACATAAAAAATACGACTGCAGTAATTTAAGTACAAGAGGGAAGCAACAGATGCACATTTTTTTTCCAGACACTAGTCCAGGGCTAGTTGACACTCATAATATAATAGGTTAAAAAAAATCGGTCTTGTGAATCTAAAAACAATTGACTGCTCCTGAGAATCAAATCTGGCTACTCAAAACAAATATGGTGGACATGCTTATGTCAAATCAAAGAGATTGATGCTGCAAAAAAAGGGGGCTATTTTGATGGTTAGTATTGATTTTCAAAGTTATGTTGTAAATTGGGCCAAAGTATGCCTGTATGTTAAAAAGGCCAAGCTGAAAATCTGGCAGCTGTGGGATGCGGCTAGTGGAAGCACAACATTTCTAGGATGGAGAAATATGACAAGGGAATCTCAATCATGCCAGGGAAACACATTTTCTTTTCTGTTCTAATTGCATAGAATGGAATCAGCAAATATGTAATCAGCTACTGATTTGCCAAAAAACCCCAATCAAACCAGCTTAAACTGGGACTTGTATGTGATATCTGTCGGAGAAAACAGGTTTACAGATTACCCCAGGCTAGGAATAAAGACATGTAAACAGTGGCACCTTTCCTATAGTGTTCTTTATAAGATTACACTGAGTGTGCCAGCAAGAGATTCACACGGAGCAATACCGAGAGAATAAGCATGGGTGGAACAATACAGACCCAACACACACCTCACACCATCCATTAACACGCATTGACTTAAAAAAGGATCAGTTTTAAAATCAATAATGCTTATATCCACTGCTGACACTTACGCCCACTGAGCAAGGTAGCCCTGCAGTGTGATCCAGCTGTTGTGGTTTGTGCACACAGTGTTGTTGACGTCGGATCCCCATGGCATTACAGGACATGTACTAAAGAGATTCTGGAGCTCCGTGGGAGATAGGCAACCGTCTCGATCCTTCAATCAATACAGATTACATACTTAATACATGTAGCAACTGTAAATGGAGTTAACAATTCTTTAACACACAAACCTGAATTACATGTAATTAATCAACATCTTCCTGGGCAATTCAAGAAATAAAAAGCATGTCATTAAAATAAAACGAAACTGTTTACTATTAAACAGTCCTCTCACATACATATACAGCTATTTAGCAAAGATGGGTCCTACTTACATCATCATACTTATCAAATATCATCTTGAGGAACTGTATTCCTTGTGTGGACAGTTCTGTTGTAGAGCCCAAGGAAGTTTGTACCCTGAAACACAACAGCATGTAACTGTCAAATACATAAAAAAAAAATGAAGCTTCAACCACAGGCAAATCATGGTTACACTACCTGTTTTTTTGGTTTTTTCTTTTGCAGATGAATAAGTTATTTGCATATTTGCATAAGTTTTTAATTTGAAAATATTTTGATTCTCAATAAGCAGTACACGAATGGCAATTTACATGAAAACTATAGCTACAAATATCTGTTAGACATGAATGCTCTTAAATTAATTTTTTTCACTACTTGAACAGCTTTACATAACAGTCATTAAGTTTCATGTTGGAAGACGGTTTCCTTTGATGCTTAGGAGTTTACAAAAATTGTAAAACTTATTGAAGTATCACGTAAACATTAGACGGAGTGTGGCATGTTTTACCTTGGTGAGAGGAAGTCTTTAGAGAGCAAGACACCATCATCATAGCCAAACGACCTGAGGACAGTCCACGTGGTCTCGTGACGGCCTCGCTGTATAAACAGTGTGTGGAGGAACAGGAACCCTGACAAACAAGAAAATATAGTCAGACATTAAAATAGTAACCCTTGGTTTATTTGCCACCTTGTTTCAGTGAAAATTTAGTGAAGAAACAGGTAATAACAACCAAAATCTACTTCAAGATGAACTCGTCTTGACCAAAATAAGCTGTCTACCTTTGAGTGTGATCCCGTTGTTTATGATACCGTCTGTGATATTTCTCTTCACTATTGACTTGACATCCTCCAAGGCTTGAGGTTGTAGAGGAGCATTGAAACATTTCCTCTGTAATGATACAGCAATACACTTACCACTGCATCTCACTAGTACATAGGCCATACAGGGAAATCATTTACCATGTAGTCGAAATTCTAAACCTTACAGGTCATACAGGGAAATCATTTACCATGTAGTCAACATTCTAAACCTTATAGGTCATACAGGGATACCATTTACCATGTAGTCAAAATTCAAACCTTATAGGTCATACAGGGAAATCATTGACCATGTAGTTAACATTCTAAACCTTATAGGTCATACAGGGAAATCATTGACCATGTAGTTAACATTCTAAACCTTATAGGTCATACAGGGAAATCATTAACCATGTAGTAAACATTCTAAACCTTATAGGTCATACAGGGAAATCATTTACCATGTAGTCAAAATTCAAACCTTATAGGTCATACAGGGAAATCATTGACCATGTAGTTAACATTCTTAACCTTATAGGTCATACAGGGAAATCATTGACCATGTAGTCAACATTCTAAACCTTATAGGTCATACAGGGGTATCATTGACCATGTAGTCAACATTCTAAACCTTACAGGTCATACAGGGATATCATTGACCATGTAGTCAACATTCTAAACCTTATAGGTCATACAGGGGAAATCATTTACCATGTAGTCAACATTCTAAACCTTAAGGATATCATGATGAAGTCTTTAGGTACTTTCAATTTTAACTTGAACTACAAGACATGTGTTCTATAACTTATAGCATCATGACAAGTGGGTGTTACAGACATGTGTTCTCCAGTCAAACCTGATAATAATGGCTCTCTACCCCGTCATTTCTCAATAAGATAATCTGTAATAAAGTGCAAGGACTCACTTGGAATAAATGTACTTCATCGTCCTTGAGTATTGAGTCGTTGTCAAGGTCACATATCTGAAGTAAAACAACACATATATACACAAAATATATTATATGTCAACAATTATTTAACCTCAAATGACAAATCAATATTAACAACATTTCATTACTTTTATGCAACAGAGTTTTCCCAATAATTACCTTGATATATAAGACTAAACTTTATGTTAATATATTTGTGCATGTCTGTATCATACCTTAAAAATTCTTGTAAGGGCTTTTTTGCATTGTGGCGTCAGCTGTAACAAAAATAATGTGATCATGAAAGCTTTTTGCTTTTAAACAGAATCTAAAAACTAACATATTCTTATTCCTTCCAGCAAAACCGTGTTTGTAAATGATAGCTGCTGTCAGCATAGCAGTGTCAAATAATTTCAGCATTTTCCTATAATAACGCAATAATTGTTAAAACTATGACACACATTGAAATATAATGCAGATAATAATACATCTGAATCCAATATTTAACTCACATGCTACATACCATATTTTACCGCCAATAAGCCCCCCCCCCCTTTCCTCCTGAGAAAAAAGATGGGCCAAAAGTTCGGAGGGGGCTTAATTGCAAGCAACCCCCCTGTTCACAAATGTCCGCCATCTTGGATATATACCACTGTTTTGATCTATGACCACACTAAATAGCATGTATTTATCTAGTTGTTCATGTTGTAAAAATAACAACTAACAGACAGAATACTTTATAACAGTCACCAAAAGTTGATTAGTTGATGGCACTGTTTGTTTTCTTAACTTATTTTCTATCATCAATATGTCTCGATAATTCAGTTTTATCAAACACCATTTTTATATTTTTTTTATTAATTAGTCAATNTCGATAATTCAATTTTATCAAACACCATTTTTATATTTTTTTTATTAATTAGTCAAACAGTACTCTTTAAGACAAAATACCAACATTCAGAGGCGTAAAAAAAATAATAGCATGACAACCAGGCTCTCTGGTGTTTGACTAGTGCCATTTCATGATTTGAATATATACCGTACTATGAAGAAATTTGAGTATACAAGGCTGAATTAACACAAAACCATTGTCTTAATCATACAAAAACAAAACAACAACTTATCTGTATGCAGGCTGCAAGCATTATGAGCAAGAGACAGGGTAGGTAAAAATGTGTAAAATATAACATTGGTTTAGATGGGTAAGACTGTAAATAACATGAAGTGCTGTACCTCCTTTTCCTCCGGGTTATAAACAGCTGCGGTGGGATGGAGCACTGCCTTTTGTGCATAGTAAAACATCTCACTTATGTTCTTTAGTGTTCTTGCTGAGCACTGTTAAAGAAAAAGATATACAAATGGTTCACTTTTTCATAGTTATTTGGTTTGTTCAGAATGATTAAAAGAAAAAAAAGAGATTAAATTTCACAATACAAATGAGATATTACATCAAGTATTTTATAGCTAAACATTCTAGTCTTCGAATTTGAATAAGTTTTATTGCAATGTTTCAACATTTATTCCAATATTCCAACATCAATGATTTCATCAGATCCCCTTTCTTACCTCTACACAAGTCTCCACTTCTGCAAAATCGTTCATGATAGGCATCATCGTCTGTAACAGTAAACGTCACTTTGTAACACTATAAAATCACATTAAAAAAAGTCTGAATCAACCATTCATTAAATATGAAACCTATTACATGTATCAAAACAATAGGAAAACCTCAAGCATTTTACCAAAGATTTTTTTTATTCTCAATTTTCACAAAGTGTACTTTTTGAAATTTTGTCACACCAGCAAGTAACTTTTCATTCTATAATACACATCCTACTGTGTTTACTTTGATTTAAAATTATCTTGTACAGACCTCCATTGTACTGAAGTCCAGCATGTCTGTCTTGTTTCCCACCAAGATGACTGGTGTCCGATGGTCCTGCCCCAAACAATTACGTAGGTATGGCAACCAAAATGTGGTGATCTGTCAATAATTATTTCTCAAAATATATCATGGATAAAACAGACAATTTCTTTTTATTAAATTTACAAATTCATACTTTTCTCAGTTATCCTGTAACTGACAAACAGACAACAAAATTCTTCAAAAATAACCAGCAGCCAACCAATAAAGCACACATTGACAATATTTTTCAAATAATGAAATTGTTTTGCGTGAAAAGTAATGGCTGAACATAATTATCAGACAGTTCAATAGATACAGGTTTTATAGTGTAAGTAAGTGATAAATTATAATATTTTAGCTGTGAAGTTTGAGCTTACCCGCTCTATGGAATCTTCATCATCCACAGAATATACAATACACACAACATTGGCCTGCAATACAAAATCATTCAGTATATAACACCTCTTTCCACACAACAGTATTAATTGTGTAATAAACTGAATATTTATCACTAATGGAAGGGATGCAGAAGGTTTTTTTCAGTAATACATGTAGTATAACTGTACTGAAAGTAAGCTGTTTAACACTTGAAGGTTCCTTCTTCCCATAGGACATGCCTAAGGCGTGGGACAACAGAACAATCTTTTGTTTACTCTTAGACTATGTATTTAAATCAAATCAAGAATATTTTTATTATTTTGTAAAAAAAACTTAACATATCAAAATTATTTCTTAAAAATTCAGCAGATTGCGTACCGGTACTACCTGGGTAATATATACTCTTACCCAGTTTCATAAAACATAATACTTCCTTTTAAATGCAAGCTGGAAACCATCTGGATTCCGCCTTGGGCGTGGGACAACAGAACAATACATAGTATGTGGTGTCTGCAGGCAACACAATGTTCACCCTGATAGATATCCTACTACACTCTTATTTCAACTATTGCACATTAATGATTATACTTGTAGTAGACTTGCAATTGTAGTACTTAGCACTACACATATGTAGTACACAACATGGGTTTTATGCCTCACTTCATCTGAATGTTTTCCCAACCTTTTGGTATTAGCTTCTCTATAAAGTAAAACATGATTTTCTTCTTTAACCTGTTTGTGATTGTAACGTCTTAACAAGTGACATCAATTTCAGAACTGACAAGTCTTCACAAGTTGTTTATTGATCAAATTCTAATCCCATCATCGGCTCTTTACTAAACCTACACCACTATGTATTATCTGATATACCACAGGCTCGTACCTTAGCAAGCTCCTCTTGAAGTCTATCTTCATCCTGTTCTTGTGCTGTAAATACAGATCAGTAAGATATAGTTTTGTTGTTATGTTATTATATCTGGTAAGTATATCAGCACAGATACCTTTGTTGATGTGTTTTATCTTCATTTGATCACCCCCCCCCCCCCAAAAAAAAAGTAAAATCCCTATATTTCATGTTTATAATATTAAATGTGTATAGACTGAGTTTAATTTTGTTAACATCAGACTACTTGACATAATATTAATTAGTGAGTCACACTTATAACCTCACCTGGTAGTACATGTAACTATACTAGTTGTTCATGATTTGTTATCAATTTATTCTGCTAAAATCTTATCATAATATTACAGTAATCAATTTGATTTTTCATAATTAAATTTACCTCCTTCTCATATGATTCCAAATATGAAATAAGCTTTTATGAAGACAAATGCTTGTTTACAAGATAAATATGTTTTTCTTTTTAAACATTTAAAGGTTGTTATTTTTGTTTGTTAAATATGGTAAAATTAATAAACAGTTATACACTTTTTTTTTAAGTACCAACTAAAATGGAATTGGCAATAAACAACATGGTAGACAGTAGTTCTATAATACATTAAAGGGTTCATAAATGATGCATGAAATTTGATCAACTTACAACTGTAGTCAACAATATGTGTGGGTACTTTCTCTGGGGTAACATCAGCAGGTATTGTTATCTCTTCTGCTTTTGATGGAACCTATGGAGATAAAAACACACACAATATTTTAAACTACAAACACAAGAAGCATTGCAGCTGACAAATTAAAGTACATGAAGTACATGATAACAGGAAACTGCTACATTTAACCCTTGTCGGGGAAAACATCAAACAAGAGTCATTGACTCCTCACCAGTACTTCTATCAATTTTCACTTGTGATATTTGGACAAGTTCCAGAGAGCTGTCTGAATTACATATATGGTATTCTTGGCTGTTGTACATTCCTGTTTATGTCAATTAAAACACAATGGAATTGTTACTATGTGGTGAAAAGAGCTTTTAGACAAATGTGCATGTCCTGTGTCTCAAATTAACTACATTATAGCCACTATTATTAATGTCAAACACTTACCTCTTCTGGAAATTCTTCACTAACCAGGGACAATATCAAAGATGTTTTCCCGACACCAGCTGTAATCATAAAATATACCGGTATTTAAAGTGGTTTTGATAAAAGTCTTTATTTTGTCTTATGCTTCTTAACATTGTATCTATTACTTTTCATTAAAATTTATGCAACGTAGTTTATTTCTGTAGAACCAGGTAGGCTTTACTAAATAGGCAAGTTAAAATTGCTATCAATAATATTAGTGAGAAAAATAATGGACATAAGGCCAAGCAAAAATACACTCATAAGGTCCATCTAAGTTTTAGATTGCATACCTAAATTGAGTAATTAGTTGTTTTCTCTCTCGTTAATTTGGAAGGGGTCCTTTTGTCTCATTTTTGGAAGAAAATAAACCAATTGGTAAGGAAATTTTCAGGAGTAAGCTTCAAATTTCGGGAATCAGGCATAAATATTAACTAAATATAGTTCGATTTGGAACGAGGCCCATTATTTGCTCCAAAAAGTCCCCCCCAAAAAAACCTGCTAACCATAAGCTCATTGTACTTTTGTCAGCCCCGCTAAGTTGGGGCTAATCATATACTTGTAATTTATTCCAAATATTTCCATCAAATCTACCTTTGTATTCCACTACAAATTCCACAAGTATTGTTTTAAGCCTCAAGGATACACTATAATGTTCATGGTTTGAGTTTTATTTCAGATGAAGACAGCATTTTGTATTTTGGTTTCAACATCTACATTTACACATGTATGATATACAGGATTTTAAAATATTTTTGCAGCAGATACTCTCCTCATGATGACATGTAACTGATTATTGACAGAAAAATACAAAGGATAAATGGGTATAAAAAAAGACNATCGGAGGGATAACAACTAACCCTAACAGACATCACTCTCTTTTTTCTGCCACCGCTTGGGATCGAACTGAAATTCTTGGGAGAGCGAATGGTCTGACCTTATGCTTGATTGCACAAAGTAGTACAATGACTGTGTGCATTAGCGATCACAGCTGCTGAGGCGCCCCATGGCCCTCCATGTGGCGACAATGAATTATTGAACCTGATTTGAAATGGTGCTTTGGATGAACATATTTAAAAGGACACAATGGTTTTAAAGTGACAGATTTGGATAACAAAACAATCAGGATAAATCCTCTTCTGGCTATCCTCTTCTGGCTTTGTTTAAGAGTAGCCCGAGTTTCCTCTGGCCCCGACACCAGACTTAAACATTTTGACAGATAGATGTCTGTTGTGGGACCAGAGTGCACTACTATATGAAAATGTGGAATTCTCTTTGACACCGTTTGGTATTGGCGAGTGCACAAGACTATAATCAACAAAAAGATGTGGTGCGGAAATCATCTAAACGAGAGTAATAGTCTCTGTTTCGGTCCAGATCAGTACGGTTTGTTGATTAGTCACAAAGCATATTTTTGTTGTCAACACCTCAAAACTCTCTGATACCAAACGGTGTCGGAGAATTCCATGTTTTCATATAATAGTGCACTCTGGCCCCACAACATACATGTATCTATCTGTCAAAATGTCTAAGTCTGGTGTCAGGACCAGAAGAAACTCGGGCTAGTTTGAGAGGTAATTTCCTTTTAGCACTTTTGGTAGGCTGGGCAGCTACTGTGTTGATTCCTGATGGATGTGGTACTTAATTAAAACACACGAGATCACATGTTCAATCAATGTTTGGAAAATAGGGTGGATATAGCCTATACTGTACATTTTTTTTATCTCTTGTGGTTCTAGTCCATTGGGATGACACTATATGTGTCAAAACAAAACAAAAGGTGTTCTGACATTGCAAATGTCTAATACACATATACTGCTAGTGTATGTTAAGGTGTGCTGTGACCCATATCAGTATAGCATATATATATGTATATTAGACATTTGTAACAAACCCCTGTGCTCAGACCGTCAAGTGCTGGACTATTTCGTTCATATTAGTATTTAATAACATATGATGATATCTTTGTTACGGGACGATATAGTATAATAATAAACGATATAGAAATATAACTTATAACTATACCATACTACTATATCGTCCCGTTACAAAGATATCATCATCAACAAGTGCACAAGAAATAACATTTTCCTCTAGTCTCTACTGTATCTGTATATAACTTATACTGACAATTGAAACAAACGAAAACTTACGATCTCCAACAAGGAGAATCCTGACGTCCCTCTTGCTGCTCATACTGCAGTATATAATCTTGGATGCACGAGACAGTGCCTTGTAAACTTTTCTGAATTTATGTAATGTTTACTCTCTCATGATGATGAAAGCACGCCAAGAAAGGTCAAACTCGCGCTACATCACATGTGGATTATTTCACATTATTAACGGCAAACAATGTCTTGAATGCACTATCTACAGCATAATATGCCAATAAATTTAAACAATATCCGTATGCTTCAACTTGGTACTTATTCGAAGAGTATTTTATGAATGAAGTGCAACTGCATGGTCGTTAAAAGACACCAAATGTCGCCATTTTTGGTTCACAATACGGAGGTTTTCGAGGTTTATCGGAGATACATGTCTCAAAATAGAAACTTTCCGATTGATAAAAGCTTCCTATTTGCGCGCGCACTTGCGGAAATACGGCTAGCGTCTGCAGCAACGAGACGCAGGTGTGATATGTGGCAGATTGAATGGTAAGTACTTTATAGTATTTAAAACATTTGGATTTAACACTCTGCGAAAGCGATAAAGACGATCATCATGTGTTATCAGTTACACTCGACCTAGCCCACAACACCATGCCGGCCGGCCATGAACTGTCACTTGAAATTGAGCTGAATGTAGGCCGCTGAATGTACATGGATCAATCAATGATACATTGTAGAGCTCACATCCATGCGTCACATAATATTGAAACACTCGGTTACAAATCAATAGTATTATGGGTAGTTTAAGTGTTTACCAATTAATTCTGACTTGATTAGTTATAAATCATGCCTTAAATCAATATACCCATTCTACGAGTAAATGATCAGTCCAAATCAAAGGACTCATAAAATTGTGTTTGTATATACCGGTATTGATGAAAAAATACCCACCACCCTAGTTACCTCTTTAGTTATTTTCTCTTTGTCATAGTTCTATAGATATAAGAAAAACTTCTGAGAAGGAGACAAGCGGTGCAATAATTTTTAATAGGAGAATCACAACCTTTTTGGCCCCTTTAATTTAATTACCTGTTAATCGTTGATGATTATTGTAGTTTATGCACAGATGAAATTATGAAAACTCGGTAATCATTGGACACTGACCTGATTGGTAAGGTGTCTGCTAGATCCACGGTTATGTAAAAAAATGAATTCTTATTGTGAGAGTCATTTTTTTTGCCGCACAAAGTAAGAAGATTTGTACTAGCTAGGTTCCTGTGTTATCTAAGTGATCAGTATTTTAATTTGTATTTATACTTATGGAAAAAAAGTAATGCAACTTTGGTTTTGGCTCATACCTTAATATTTGTTTACAAATTTCAAAATATCAAACATTTCATTTAAATTTGGTAGTGATTGCGCTGGGCACTCATAAGCCTAGGGTGCTGGCTCCTTTGTGCAAAACCCAAATACAAAACCTTGCTGTACATTTTTAAGAACATTGTCAAAATTCAAGCATCTTGGGCATACCCACCTATGAAGCAGTTCAACTTGTAAATCATTCCTCTAGCCAAACATCATTACTCTTATCCATCAATGAAATCTAACCTTCCTGCAAGACAATATTAATGCCAGCTATAGGCCACACATTGGGACATTTGCGCAAGAGTGTGTCATGCTTTTCCAGCCCCCAAAAAATGTACTACTTCTTGATTGGCTACCATACAGTCCAGATTTGTGGTATTAGTTGGACAGGCAGGTTAAAAACAAGCCAATACCCCCAAAAACCGTCACTCAGCTCAGAGAGCTGATGCAGGCACCTCTGGAGTAATGGAATAACATCACACATCAGTTCAAAGAATCAAATATTCATTATCAGAATCAACTGTGACTGCAAGTTCTATTAACATGTTCAAGAGCAACTTTAACTCAGACTGGAAGGATAAGGACAAAAAGTTCCTTGTACCAAGGGAGATTATCTCGTGTCCAAGTTGGCGGTCTGCCAGAATCGTTGATCTTTTCATGAAAAAACTTGAAATTGCTTACACTTATGTATTCTGCGCACCCCCAACTTTGGGCATTGTATATGTGTACCCAGTCAGCTAGACTTTTTATACAATACAACCATCATTAGTTGCATGCACAGTAAAGACTGATTTTGAATAAGACCAACAAGAGCATAAACTCACCACCTGGCCAACATGATCACTTGAGGTTAATAAAGGTAAATACAAAAATAGTAGGGTACAGGCAGTGATCTCAGCGTGTAGAGGACACATGTGGTATTTAATAGATACTGGAATATGGGGGATAGGTTTCGTTAAATGGTGCTACATTTTTTCTGTTAAATTATTTAGAAGGGAACCAGTTATCTGTTAAACTTAATTCAAATGAAATATCTTCAATACTTGCAAAATTTACCACAAAAAATTGCTTCACAGGCTTTTTTTCAGTCGGGTATTATTGTTTTTAGTAAAGGACTTAAATACTAAAAGATCAAGTAGTACATGTACCTTTGTCTCACAGCAGGATGTTTTTCACAGTTTTGGGAATTTTCAGAAATTATAAAAAAAAAATCTAACCACATCAAGTAATAAAAAGTAATTATGAAATTTTTTAGGACATTTTTGAAGCAAAATAACCCAGCACTTTTTATTGAGAATGTGGGACAGGGGATTTGACACAAAATATATGCTCTCACTCTTTCCCCCCAAGAAAGGGTGAAAATGCTTGAATACTTCATTTTATAAGCTTGAAGGTTTGAAGATTATGTTTGTGTTTTGCCTTGAATGTTGAATTGATACAACATTATTTGTCATATTGCCATGTCCTACAGAGTTATAGCCCTTTCCATGCAATCAACCAGTTCCAGTGTGCATGACATGTGGCTGTGTTTATTTGATGATTTCAAATGTTAGAAAAAGTAACATTTCTGTTTCTGTTTTCTTTGATGGGGTTGAATAATTTGATCCATAAATTATAAACCTGACATGTCAGTCTCCTATAAAGTATTCAACATGCAGTATGTCAAATGATTAGCATATTGATACACTTGGATCCAATCGAATCGTTCATATTTTTCTAAAAAGTATTAGTATCAAAGAGAGCATTAGACAGTCTTTTCTGGCAAAAAGAGTTGCATGATTATAACAAAATTCATGGTTGAAGCTAGACTTTATTTGACTCCATGCATAAAGTGAATAACCAATGCCTAACCCTAAAATTTCCACCCCATACCTAATTCCTGATATTTCCACATATAGATCAACAAATTGGAAAAATTCAATAAAAGGAAAAGTGACTTTTTTTATAATGAACTTGAAGTTGAAAAGAACAAAAATAGATGACTTCACCGTGGGGCGATTATAGTACCATAACAGTGAAATAAACTGCGGTTCATGGGCTTCATATTACTAACTATTACTACTGGTTATTTAATAACTTTACATTCCATTAGAACAGTTATATATAATTAATAGTTCGCTCCGGGATTGGTTATATGCAGTCAGTTTTGGGCCTGGTTTATATGCATATCTGTATGTTGTATTTAATTGCAGATTCTTTTCTGTTTTTGAAATATTTTGATGTTGTTAACAAGAACTGTAGGTAAACTTTGCACTTCCTGATACAAGATACTTAATGAATTTGTACATACAATGTCATATTTGTCACAACATAATGGTAGACCCATAGACAATCACTATAGAATCACTGTAGGTCTACTGGAGTTATTTACTTATAGACCAAGTAAAATGTTCTTTGTTATGGTCTGGTCTGTGAAACTTTTCTGTAAGTCTATTAGAAATCTATATCAAATAGACCTTATATCTATGTTGCCCCAATTCTAAATTTTTAGACTGTGCATATTGATCGAGTTTCATAACCTGACTATAAGCATTACATTCTCAAACATGACATGCAGAGTAAGATGGCTGTTTTATATAAGACAGATACGTGGCTTTACATGTCTCTGAATTAGACCATGTAAATTCACAGAATTCAAGTTTATTTATTCATTCGTTTAGCTTGTCATATAATTTATATTTTGCAAATGGCATTCAAAAAAGACATTTTGATGGTTAATTTTATATAAAAAAAAATATCATTAAAAGTATATGTCAAATCTGATCAAAGTCTAAAAGTGGCACATGTGAAAAATCAGAGTTCAAATGGGGTACATTTAAGGCATGTGGAAGAAATCTATAAGTCCTAATGGAGAACATTAAAAAAATCAAAGTCCAAATGGGGCATATTTGAGGCACATTGATAAAATTAGAGTCCAAATGGGGCACATTTGAGGCATGTGGAAGAGACCTAAGTCCAAATGGGGCACATTTGAGGCACATTTTTAAAATTAGAGTCCAAATGGGGCACATTTGAGGCACATTGATAAAATTAGAGTCCAAACGGGGCACATTTGAGGTATACTTAAAAAATACCCCAGAAGTAGAGGTACATTTTAGGCACCTTTTAGGCATGAAATAGGCATGCCACACTGTACCTTTTTTTAGCATGGGCATGTATAAGTGATTAAATGCATTGAATATCTGTCTGGACATATTTGTACCGTATTAAGGAATGTATAAGCACCAAGTGGTTTTCTTGGTTTATTGGATACCTGAGAACGGTCAGGGACTTATCCCTCTCTGATTTCACCGTGTATAAATGTAAGACCATACAAGTTTAGTGTCCCTGGCCGGATTAACCCTGTTTTTATATCAAAATAAGCAAAAGATCGAAGAGACTTCAATTTGTTTACAGACTAATTTCACAAAATGATATTTCTGTCGGTAATCAAATTTATCACTTACTGGGTGCCTTTCTTTTCAAAAGGTTTAAGTGCTGTCACTGAAGATTATAGTTGATTGTGGTAATAAAGAGCTAGCCTGTTTGTAAAAATTCACAAGTTGAAGATATTTTCATGTGATGTCTGTGATGTCATGTCACCAGGAAACCAGTCTATTGTACATCTTTATTAAAGTATTTTAAAGAAAAACATATATTTCTTCTTGATACATGCAATAGGGATTGACAAAAATATGGAAGGCTCTCTATAAAATTGTAACACTTGATTTGTATCACAACACATTTCTGAAATTTTTATTCACCACATGTGATGTTTTTTATATGTCCATCAACGATGGGTTGCATTGTGTTATCTTACGTGTCCTTCATCTGTTTCTTTAAAATGACTTCTTCTTAACCATTGATTGGAATTTAACCAAAAAAGAGGATATTTGGCTAGATTGCTTAAAATAACTTCTTCTCTAGAACCATTTGATAGAAATTAACTATATTTGTCTGAAGCATTCTTAGGAGGTGGGGATAAAAAAGAAGTACAAATATGGAGGGGCAGAGTATTTAAGAAGCACTATTTGACCATATTACTTTAAGTGGCCTGTTCTCTGGAACTGAGAAATGGATATAGACCGTAACTGATCCATTAATTGGTACCTTTTACCTTATTGAGAATATTTTGCAATGAGTGCTTAAATATCCAGGTGAGCAATACTGGGCCTCGATCTGGTTGACAGAAGTTTGTTGGGAGATTTGGGACCATGAATTACAAATTATTAATTATGAATACTTAATTTGTCAGGTTTATTTTAAAATCAGTATTTAAAAAAAAAAAAAAATGCACAATAAAAAACACAGATGTTAAAATTGTTTTGAGTGTCCATCCATCTCTCTGTATTTAGTAACAGCTCTTTAGTGTTGTGTACAAACAATTCTATCAACTGATAGATGTATTGATTTATGACCAGTGCATATTTCTAGATCAACTGATCATAGGATTAGATACATTGATACAATGTACAATGAACATTTCTAGACCAAGTTACTTATCAAGGTCAGAGAATGAAGTGTCAAGTATTTATATTATCAGTTGACAATAATACAATTCACAATATTGGTCTGTCATTTGTATCAATTTCTTATACATAGAAATGGAAGCTTCCCTCTTGACTCGATCCTGCCCTTTAATTTTTTTAAAGAAATCATATATTTTAGCAACATTACTGCATAACAAGTATAAACTTACATTATCACTCTTTTTGGTCATTATGGAAGAGCACAGAGTGTTTGAATGTGAAAGAAAAAAGCTGCCCCCTTTGTTACTGTGGTTACCTTGTCTAATGAATGGTAGATCAATTTGGAAAATTTCATTTATTTTCAACTTTCCTCTAAACAGACGTTAAAATCAAGAAATGTTGCGATTGTCCACAATATTAATAATGTGTATACCGTTAGTTAAATGCATAATTGATTTGTACTGGTCAGAAGGCAAAATGTCATGTTTGTCCCATATATTCCAGATAGGAAATACCACAAAACATTTATATTAAAAACATGTGTTCACTGGTACTGGTTTGTACAAATTGTTGTGTACATACTTGGTATTGAAAGATTGATGGGTGTCTAAGACCAGATTAGTGGTAGGTATACACGATTCAGCTTACAGGTTCATACCTGTGCAGTACGATTTAGGTCTGTGACCACGGGACCGTCTACCGGTATAAACACAGACTTAAATTTATCCTCAACACAATCTGAAGGTATTAACGGGTCACTTCAAAATAGCGCTCCCTTTAAATAAATGCAAATGCTCACCTGTAGAATTGTTAAAGTTCAATTGGCTTCAACAATTTGTTAGAACAGGATCTATTCTATATACGTGGTGGTTAAAAAACACCGCTCTCACAGATTTATATAGGTACAGGAACACGGTCTCCTGATAAAGGTTAAACAGAGAAGGTAAGTTATTCTTTAATTTCCCTGTCATTCCTTTCTAATTACAACATCACTTTAATTGATAGACCTGAACAAGTCCACATTAATCCCACACATGTGACCTTGCTTAGGCTACACTAATGATAATTATCAAACTTTGAACACAATCATTGTTTATTGTTTGCCAATGAGAAGGGTATGTGTTTGTGTTACGTGTTTGTTAAAGGGCCTGTGTATATTACAGTACAGTATTTTGTATGCTCTCTGTACATTTACAGTGTCATAGTCTCTGTTTTAATTTGAAAACTTTTCTTTTTAGAGAATTTATTGTTAAACCATTTTTAACTTGCAGTTAATGGAATTATTTTCTTTGGTATGATTAATTGTGTTAAAGTGATATTTTATCAATTAATTATTACATAACATGACACATATATATATACAGTGTATATAAATTTATTTTAACTTTTCATTTAGAAACTCCAAACTCTTCATTACAGTAAAATGTGTAGAGTAAGTGAAGTTTTAGTGTAAAAATAAGTACCGACTTCCTGGATATACCTGTAGATCTGTTACAAAACACTGTCAATGCTATAACAGTATGGTATTTGTTGAGGCATATCAGATCCATTGAAACATTCTTACTCATTTTATATATATTAAATTTTAGTGTTTTTTTTTAGTGTTTTATTGTCAATAACGTTTGAATTATTGCTGAAGCACAAATATAAATCACATTTCATATCTAAGTATATATCATTAATTTGTCATTCATATGTGGGTAACACTATAAAATCAATATCACAGGTTGTGAAAAGTCAATGATTTTTGGATGGAATTCATAAACTAAAATGACATTTACCTCTAAATAAGTTGAAATGACTTTTGATATCTCCATTTTTATAGCACTGTCAATATTAAGGCTGGCACTTTTATAGCAATTTATATGGTGTCTTCAGCTACCATTGACCATATCATACAGAGATAAAACAGATTTTATCATGCACTCAAATTTGGAGGTTTCTAGACCTTAAAAGTGATGTGCTACAGCCAGTTATAAGGTGACACCATTGTACCAATACCATGATCTGTTACTAGCACTCCACCAGAGTCTGGTACATAGTGTGCTATGTATCAATATGATTACTATATAATGGTTGGATGGCACAGTGGATAGCCTAGGCACACTCGCCTATCAACAAGGTGGCTGGGGTTTGATTCCCCGATCAGATGCAGAAATGTATGGTACATGTCACCTGCCCAACCAATTGGGTTTTCTCGGGTACTCTCCTTTCTTCCTACATTAAGACCCCCCTGCTCACTAACAACAGGGCCAACAAGAGTGATATCAATATAATTTGAAAGAATTTGTTTCATAATTGTTGTAAAATAATTACAAGATATATTTTATATAATATGATGATCATGACCCGTCACTTACAGTCTTACACACTCAAAATGTCTGATACAATAAACATACATAAGGTCTACATGGTGTGTCTACATGGTGTGTCTACATGGTGCACCATGTACTGATATGGGGACCTGTTGTTTACATTCAAACTGTCTGATATATACATACATGGTCTACATGGTGCACAACATACCAATATAGTGACCTGTTACTCTAGTACTGTCTGGTACATACCATACATGATGAACCATGTACCAATACTGTGTGGTACATACATACATGGTGAACCATGTATCACTACTGTCTGGTACATACATACATGGTGAACCATGTATCACTACTGTGTGGTACATACATACATGGTGAACCACGTACCAATACTGTCTGGTACATACCATACATGATGAACCATGTACCAATACTGTGTGGTACATACAGAAATGGTGAACCACGTACCAATACTGTCTGGTACATACCATACATGATGAACCATGTACCTATACTGTGTGGTACATACATACATGGTGAACAATGTATCAATACTGTCTGGTACATACCATACATGGTGAACCATGTATCACTACTGTGTGGTACATACATACATGGTGAACCACGTACCAATACTGTCTGGTACATACAATACATGATGAACCATGTACCAGTACTGTGTGGTACATACATACATGGTGAACCACGTACCAATACTGTCTGGTACATACATACATGGTTCACCATGTATGTTTGTACCAGACAGTAGTGATAAATGGTTCACCATGTATGTATGTCCCAGACAATAGTGATACATGGTTCACCACGTATGTATGTACCAGACAGTATCGATACATGGTTCACGATCTATGTACCACATGTATTTATGTACCACACAGTAGTGATACAAGGTTCACCATGTATGTATGTACCTCACAGTATTGGTACATGGTTCATCATGTATTGTATGTACCAGCCAGTATTGGTACGTGGTTCACCATTTCTGTATGTACCACACAGTATTGGAACATGGTTCACCATGTATGTAGGTACCAGACAGTATTGATACATGGTTCACGACGTATGTACCAGACAGTATTGATACGTCTTTCACCATCTATGTATGTACCACACAGTAGTGATACAAGGTTCACCATGTATGTATGTACCTCACAGTATTGGTACATGGTTCCTCATGTATGGTATGTACCAGACAGTATTGGTACGTGGTTCACCGTGTATGTATGTACCACACAGTACTGGTACATGGTTCATCATGTATGGTATGTACCACATAGCATTGGTACATGGTTCACCATGTATGGTATGTACCACATAGTATTGGTACATGGTTCACCAGGTATGTATGTACCAGACAGTAGTGGTACGTGGTTCACCACGTATGTATGTACCAGACAGTAGGGATACCTGGTTCACCATGTATGTATCACACAGTAGTGGTACGTGGTTCACCATGTATGTATGTATCACTACTGTCTGGGACATACATACATAGTGAACCATGTATCAATACTGTGTGGTACATAGATCGTGAACCATGGATCAATACTGTCTGGTACATACATACATAGTGAACCATGTACCAATACTCTGTGGTACATACAAACATCGTGAACCATGTACATGGTGAACCATGTACCACTACTGTGTGGTACATACATACATACATACATGGTGAACCAAGTATCAATACTGTCTGGTACATACATTGGGAACCATGTATCAATACTGTGGGGTACATAGATCGTGAACCATGTATCGATACTGTCTGGTACATACATACGTGGTGAACCACGTACCACTACTGTCTGGTACATACATCGTGAACCATGTGTCAATACTGTCTGGTACATACATACGTGGTGAACCACGTACCACTACTGTGTGATACATACATGGTGAACCAGGTACCAATACTGTCTGGTACATACACATACATACATGGTGAACCACGTACCAATACTGTGTGGTACATATCATACATAGTGAACCATGTACCACTACTGTGTGGTAAATACATACATGGTGAACCAAGTATCAATACTGTCTGGTACATACATTGGGAACCATGTATCAATACTGTGGGGTACATAGATCGTGAACCATGGATCAATACTGTCTGGTACATACAATACATACATAGTGAACCATGTATAACTACTGTCTGGTACATAGATACATAGTGAACCATGTACCAATACTCTGTGGTACATACCATACATGGTGAACCATGTACCACTACTGTGTGGTACATACATACATGGTGAACCAAGTATCAATACTGTCTGGTACATACATTGTGAACCATGTATCAATACTGTGTGGTACATAGATCGTGAACCATGTATCAATACTGTCTGGTACATACATACATAGTGAACCATGTATAACTACTGTCTGGTACATAGATACATGGTTCACCATGTATCAATACTGTCTGGTACATACATACATAGTGAACCATGTACCAATACTCTGTGGTACATACAAACATCGTGAACCATGTATCACTACTGTGTGGTATATACATACATGGTGAACCACGTACCACTACTGTCTGGTACATACATACATGGTGAACCATGTATCACTATTGTCTGGTACATACATACATGGTGAACCTTGTATCACTACTGTGTGGTACATACATACATGGTGAACCACGTACCACTACTGTGTGGTACATACATACATGGTGAACCATGTATCAATACTGTGTGGTACATACATACATGGTGAACCATGTATCACTACTGTCTGGTACATACATACATGGTGAACCATGTACCACTACTGTGTGGTACATACATACATGGTGAACCATGTATCAATACTGTGTGGTACATACATCGTGAACCATGTATCAATACTGTGTGGTACATACATGGTGAACCATGTATCAATACTGTCTGGTACATACATACATGGTGAACCATGTATCACTACTGTCTGGTACATACATACATGGTGAACCATGTATCACTACTGTCTGGTACATACATACATGGTGAACCATGTATCACTACTGTCTGGTACATACATACATGGTGAACCATGTATCACTACTGTCTGGTACATACATACATGGTGAACCATGTATCACTACTGTCTGGTACATACATACATGGTGAACCATGTATCACTACTGTCTGGTACATACATACATGGTGAACCATGTATCACTACTGTCTGGTACATACATACATGGTGAACCATGTATCACTACTGTCTGGTACATACATACATGGTGAACCATGTATCACTACTGTCTGGTACATACATACATGGTGAACCATGTATCACTACTGTCTGGTACATACATACATGGTGAACCATGTATCACTACTGTCTGGTACATACATACATGGTGAACCATGTATCACTACTGTCTGGTACATACATACATGGTGAACCATGTATCACTACTGTCTGGTACATACATACATGGTGAACCATGTATCACTACTGTCTGGTACATACATACATGGTGAACCATGTATCACTACTGTCTGGTACATACATACATGGTGAACCATGTATCACTACTGTCTGGTACATACATACATGGTGAACCATGTATCACTACTGTCTGGTACATACATACATGGTGAACCATGTATCACTACTGTCTGGTACATACATACATGGTGAACCATGTATCACTACTGTCTGGTACATACATACATGGTGAACCATGTATCACTACTGTCTGGTACATACATACATGGTGAACCATGTATCACTACTGTCTGGTACATACATACATGGTGAACCATGTATCACTACTGTCTGGTACATACATACATGGTGAACCATGTATCACTACTGTCTGGTACATACATACATGGTGAACCATGTATCACTACTGTCTGGTACATACATACATGGTGAACCATGTATCACTACTGTCTGGTACATACATACATGGTGAACCATGTATCACTACTGTCTGGTACATACATACATGGTGAACCATGTATCACTACTGTCTGGTACATACATACATGGTGAACCATGTATCACTACTGTCTGGTACATACATACATGGTGAACCATGTATCACTACTGTCTGGTACATACATACATGGTGAACCATGTATCACTACTGTCTGGTACATACATACATGGTGAACCATGTATCACTACTGTCTGGTACATACATACATGGTGAACCATGTATCACTACTGTCTGGTACATACATACATGGTGAACCATGTATCACTACTGTCTGGTACATACATACATGGTGAACCATGTATCACTACTGTCTGGTACATACATACATGGTGAACCATGTATCACTACTGTCTGGTACATACATACATGGTGAACCATGTATCACTACTGTCTGGTACATACATACATGGTGAACCATGTATCACTACTGTGTGGTACATACATACATGGTGAACCATGTACCACTACTGTGTGGTACATACATACATGGTGAACCATGTATCAATACTGTGTGGTACATACATCATGAACCATGTATCAATACTGTCTGGTACATACATACATGGTGAACCATGTATCACTACTGTCTGATACATACATACATGGTGAACCATGTATCAATACTGTCTGGTACATACATACATGGTGAACCATGTACCACTACTGTATAGTTCATACATACATAGTGAACCATGTACCAATACTGTGTCAGTGTGTGGTACATAAACACATGATGAACCATGTATCACTACTGGCTGTTATTTACCATACATGGTGAACCATGTACCAATACTGTGTGGTACATACCATACATGGTTCACCATGTATGACATGGTTCACCATGTATGAATTGTATGTACCACACAGTAGTGATACCTGGTTCACCATGCACTACTGTCTGATACATACATACATGGTGAACAATGTATCACTACTGCCTGGTACAAACCATACATAGTGAACCATGTACCAATACTGTCTGGTACATACAATAAATACATAGTGAACCATGTACCAAAACTGCCTGGTACATACATACATGGTTCAACATGTACCAATACTGTGTGGTACAAACATACATGGTCAACCATGTATCACTACTGTCTGGTACATACATACATGGTGAACCAGGTATCACTACTGTCTGGTTCATACATACATGGTGAACCATGTATCAATACTGTCTGGTACATACATACATGGTGAACCAGGTATCACTACTGTCTGGTTCATACATACATGGTGAACCATGTATCACTACTGTCTGGTACATACCTACATTTAGGTTCATCATGTATGAATATGGTTAGGTTGACCTCAAACTGTCTAGTTCCAGTACATGGTACACCATGTATTATATATACTGTGTAACTAATATGATGACCTGTTTCTTACATGGATAAAGGTGAAGCTGACATTGTTGATAAGAACCACCAACAAGCTTTCATTTGTTAATAGATTGTTTAGTACTGACAGGGACATGATTGAGATTATACACATACAAAATATTCATGACTGTTGTAAAAAATATGATAGTAAACTATCAACTTCTCATTTTAAAAGTGGTTATCTCAGCATCAGAAATAATTTTTTCAGGATAGCTCATTGATGGTGCTTAATGTCAGCTTTTAGCAGAAGTATGTCAAATTTGTCAGCAATATGGATTTGGGGCAAATTAAAAGTAAATGTATTTAGTGCGTGAAAAAAATATAATATTACACTGATAATATTTTTAATGATAATGGAAGATTAAAATACATTGATAACAATAAAAGTTTTTACCACATGTCCGAGCGTGTAACAGGAATAACTGGACACATAATGAACTGCTTAGTTCTCCTTCATGGTAGATAATTGTTTAACCATAGTCAATCAGAAAAGAATTATAGAGAAGTATATGGTTGGTTAGTCGTCTTTTGTAATGTCTTGTTTACAAACAACAAGGAGGCAATACAGGTGTTTATTTCTGTTTAATTGAGTGACCGATGGATACGTCCTTCAAGGTTCCAATTACTAGGAATTTTCTATTAAATTTAATCAGTGTAAGTTGTAGAATTTCTTCAAAATTTTCTTGTGTGTGCTTGTTGATTATCTAAATGTCTTGACTGGGGCGATTGTATACACACCTGTGATAGTGATATACACACCCTGTACACACCTGTATAACTCTGATACACCTATAAAGACAATTTTATACTTTATGTACCAGGTCTGTAAACCCATTCCAACAATTCACCGACCAGGTAAGTCAAATTTAGCTTTAAATGTTTCCAATTTTCAGTCAATATGCTGTTACTGTTGTAAAATATAAAATTCAAAACTACTGTTGAGTGGTCGTTCACCTATATATGCTAAGTAATTGATCAATTTTGTGTCAATTTGTATATATACAATACATATTAAAGCTGTCAAAATATATAGCCTCTAGGTAACCACATTAGTTATATGACCGCTTGTAATTACAAAGTTAATGTACTTTAATGTATTTGATATTTCCAACTGGTACCATTGGTTTGGAGGGATAAAAAAAGAACTGTTGAGTTGTGTACAGTGTTAGATGAGTCATACACAGTAGCCTGTGTGATTACAGCAAGGTTATTTAAGATTTATAATGAAAGGTTCTTTGACCAATTTGATAGGGACTCTTGACAAGTGGCCCAAATTTTGGACTGGGGAACATTTAACCAGTGGCCTGACTTTTGGCCTATGTACACTGGGGAACTCTTGACCTGTAGCTAGCCTAACTGTAGGCTGTAGGACTGTAGTAGGCCTGTAGCGCTGGGGAACTTTTAACCAGTGGCCTGTACTCTGGGGAACTCTTGACCTGTAGCTAGCCTAACTGTAGGCTGTAGTAGGCCTGTAGCGCTGGGGAACTTTTAACCAGTGGCCTGAGGGCTACTCTGGGGAACTCTTGACCTGTAGCTAGCCTTACTGTAGGCTGTAGGACTGTAGTAGGCCTGTAGCGCTGGGGAACATTTAACCAGTGGCCTGACTTTTGGCCTGTACACTGGGAAACTCTTGACCTGTAGCTAGCCTAACTCCGTTCTCAGCTGACTGTAGGCTGTAGGACTGTATAAGGACTCACTCATTGATCCCTTCATATTTTTTGGCTATCAAATTTAAGTTAAACAAACCTTTGTTTGACCTGTTATTAGTTGCTAACAAAAGGAATGTCACAGTTGGTTTGAGTTGAGTGGTCTAGCTATCATGTTGTAGGCATTGTACTACAGTCTGAGTGGGTTCATGTAAATATTGATTCGTAATCAAAGAATTGAAATAATAAAAGTACGAAACATGTTTACATCCTTGTTACTTGAAGTGATTCAAAAGAAAAACATGCTTGAAAACATACCATCTCAATTCTGGCATCAAATCGAAAGTCCAATTTCTGACCAGTATTCAGTAAACAAGTGGAAGACATATTGTAAGTTACGTTATCAGGTTTGTATGATCTGCAGTATGCTTCATACAGAATGAAACAGTGTGGTGGAAAGTTCACTGTAATTTAAATGTGTATAATCATGATAGTAGTATCTGTACTAAGGCATACACTTAACCGAAGTTGTCCGATCACCTATACAATAACTACAGAGAAACCATTAGTGCACTAATAATCAGTTTACACATCCAGAAGTGTCACTTACAAGCTGGCTAATGGGCTGATCAAAATTCAGATGTACAGATTTGCAGGGATTAAACTACGTAGTATATTCGTGCTTTGCATAACATTTATACAGCATTTGCAGGAAATCCTTATGTGTTTGCATTTTGACTTACATAACTATTGCAGATCGGAATTTTTCAATTGATCACTTTACTATAATGCTATCCTTGATCAGTCACCAAGTCAGAAGGAATCTTGTGTTTGCTACGCCCCGATATTGACGTTTATATAACACAGCAATGATTGAGCTCTCAGTCTTGTTTACATACAAATATCTTTATTTGGGCAGATATAACACATATAGGTGTTTATTTGAGATAAGCTTGATGTATTGCCAACAGAACCATATGTTGATTTTGACCAATACCTCTTGCATATTGGGTTCAAGTTTTTTTGTAAATTAAGGAGAATCCAAATTATTGTGGAAGATATACCTGTAGACTTTTGACTATATGCATGTTCACACAGCACATAACTTCTATGCAACCAAAGTATTTTGTGTCTAAAATGTTTAGTACATTATCTATTTGTCCAACTACTATTATTTATAAAAATATTGTGTGCTAAAACAAGGTGTGACTCATTGACTTTCACTATTAATTAATATCCATCTTGGTTGTGTCTTTTAAAGGAGAGAGTTTTCACTGATTATTATATTATCTATTAACTTATACAAATTTATAAGAATGCTGAGACTTTCTCATCATATACATAGTGTCTTTTGTCTGCAACAAATTGGGAACCATTATGTATTGTACCAAACAAAACATGGAACAGATCCGATATTTGATTCACATGACAATAGCTGAATTACAAATTTACATAAAAAAAAAAATGTATTTATTGATTTCTAGTTCATGCTTAGGTCCATTCTAAAATTCAATATTTTCATATTTAGAAAGTCCTTGTTTCAATTTTAGTAAAGCATTTTCTTAAATTAGTGAAAAAGGTATCAGTCACAGTTTGATGTTCTCCATTTTTTCTGTCCATTTTGATGAATTTATACTGTCAACATCTACCTGTAATAAAAAACCTAATTTGTAAAGGCACTTTTGTTTGTGTGGTAACATGACACTTGATCTCACATAATGTACAGTTTAAATGCTCATTTACATACAAATGTATTGTAAATTTTCCATTTAATTTCATAGTTAAATGGAGGAGTATAGAGGTTTGATTATCACAAACCACAGAGTCAAGTCAATCATGTTCTGTGTGTATAACAGTCACAGAGCCAATCATGTTCTGTCACAGGGCCAGTCATGTTCTGAGTAACTTGAATTGTCCACTACAGTCACAGAGCCAGCCGCAGTCACAGAGCCAATCATGTTCAATGTGTGTCTTGGCCTCTACAGTCACAGAGCCAACTGTGTTCTGTGTGACTTGGCCTCTACAGTCACAGATCAAGAGCCAAATGTGTTCAATGTGACTCGGCTTCTACAGTCACAGAGCCAACTGTGTTCTGTGTGATTTGGCCTCTACAGTCACAGAGCCAGTCATGTTCTGTGTGTGTCTTGGCCTCTACAGTTACAGAGTCAACTGTGTTCTGTGTGACTTTGCCTCTACTGTCACAGATCAAAAGCCAACTGGGTTCTGTGTGACTCGGCTTCTACAGTCACAGAGCCAACTGTGTTCTGTGTGATTTGGCCTCTACAGTCACAGAGCCAACTGTAATCTGTGTGACTTTGCCTCTACAGTCACAGATCAAGAGCCAACTGGGTTCTGTGTGACTCTGCTTCTACAGTCACAGAGCCAACTGTGTTCTGTGTGATTTGGCCTCTACAGTCACAGAGCCAATCATGTTCTGTGTGTGGCTTGGCCTCTACAGTCAGAGAGCCAATCATGTTCTGTGTGTGGCTTGGCCTCTACAGTCAGAGAGCCAATCATGTTCTGTGTGTGACTTGTCCTCTACAGTCACAGAGCCAATCATCGGTTCTGTGTGTGACTTGTTCTCTACAGTCACAGAGCCAATCATGTTCTGTGTGTGACTTGGCCTCTACAGTCACAGAGCCAATCATGTTATGTGTGTGGCTTGGCCTCTACAGTCACAGAGCCAATCATGTCCTGTGTGTGACTTGTCCTCTACATTCACAGAGCCATCTGTGTTCTGTGTGTGACTTGTCCTCTACAGTCACAGAGCCAATCATGTACTGGGTGTGACTTGTCCTCTACAGTCACAGAGCTAATCATGTTCTGTGTGTTACTTGTCCTCTACAGTCACAGAGCCAATTATGTACTGTGTGTGACTTGTCCTCTACAGACACAGAGCCAATCATGTTCTGTGTGTGACTTGGCCTCTACAGTCACAGAGCCATCTGTGTTCTGTGTGTGACTTGACCTCTACAGTCACAGAGCCAATCATGTTCTGTGTGTGACTTGGCCTCTACAGTCACAGAGCCAATCATTTCCTGTGTGTGACTTGTCCTCTACAGTCACAGAGCCATGTTTAAATGTGTTCTGTGTGTGACTTGACCTCTACAGTCACAGAGCCATGTTTAAATGTGTTCTGTGTGTGGCTTGTCCTCTACAGTAACAGCCAGACATATTGTTCAGCATGAACACTTGTCCTCAATTGGGAAATCCAATTAATACTTCTCAATCTGATTTTATATAAGTTTATACAGTGGAATCCACTTATTATGATATCGGTTATTATGATAAACTGCGTGCTTATTATAATTTTTTCCCCATGTACCGATATTTTCCTTAACTAAGCAAACAAATTGTTTATTATGATATGGTCAAAAGTGGGACCCCCTTTTTATAATATATTGTTTTCTGCTATATATGGATTTTTATAAGATAAAAACTCAGGTAAGTTTTATTAAGGAAATACTGAGGAATATTATAAACATACAAAATTTAACAGTGTTTGAAAAATGGGTATACCGTATTCTCTGTAAATGTTTCCCCTTCTCCCTGCTCTATTGTTGATTGCTCGCCAATAATAGGTGCCAACCTACGTTTTATGTGATAGAACTGGTGATGAATGACGGTTTCTCTCCAATCTGTGCATGTATGATAGAGCTGCCATGGGCAAAAAAGAGGTGTAAACAAACTCTGTCTTATAAACCGTTCCACATGTAATGAGGATGTTCTGATGCTGCAGTGAGGAAAATTGTGACATGATGTAATTTTTTCATTGTATGAAAACATTATGTTGGCTCTCTTTCATTTAAGGATATAAAACAATTGATATTATTTTTCTGATATTAAATGAGATATGAGATTCATTAATGAACTTGGTAAAACTGATAACTTTAATACTGCGGCAGATATCAAAGTGATATTTGCCAAATTGTGATAATATCACTTTTGGTATTGATCAATCAAAACAGCACTTTATATTCACTTCATTCAAAGCTGGAGTTCAATTTTCTATTCAAATGCAGATGAAGCGACGGTATATAATTTATGTAAGCAAATCATCTCACAAAATAATAGTAAAATACATCAGAATTGTGCTGAATAGCCAATTCAAAATGGCACACAGCCTTGTTGTTAAGCTTGACATCATTAGAATACTGTATAAGGCACCAAAGATTTTGCTATGAAATCCCCAATTGCAGTAATATTTTTCGTCATTGTAGGTAGTTTTAAAATGTAATAAATAAACAATTTAATGGTTTCCCCATTGATTACCATTTTGTATTTTCCATTTTTTGTGACAGAATATACCCATACTTTCATTCAAACTTTGAACTTGTGAAGAATATTGTTATTCTGCCATACTTATGAAATATATGGTATTCAACTGGAAACCATTAGATATTCTCTATCAATCTCATGCAGTTAAACATGGTTTATTACGGTCACAAGAGATTCTTCGTGGTCTATAAAAAATAAAAATAAATCAATAATTCATTCAGTATCACTGTGATCAAAGACGTCTGCCCTATTATAGCTCTTACGACCAACATATCAGTCACGAAGGTAAAATGTAACCATCATGCAGGTCAGTGGTGTCCAGCCTCCCTCTGGGAATCGCTGAGGTGATCACTGGAGTCTCAGATCCCACATAAATTACTGACAATAACTGAACAATATCATAGATTCAGGCATTGGTCCCAAATCTAATCAGGAAAATAGCTGTTAGTTGATCAATTATTTATATCTTGAATGGTAGACCTTAATGATTAGTTAAAAGGAAAATGGATTGAGCTCATTGTTGATAATATGTACATCTGTAGAGAATTACAATAGATTTCTGAATGTCTTTGTATTTACATGGCTGCTTAATGGTTTTGAAATGCATGCAATGGAAATAATTCACTGTTGTTCAGTTAAATATCACAAAAGCAGCATTCACATTAGAAAAACCTCATTATGCTTAATGACTTGACTTCCTTTTGCAAATGCTCCATTTAAATTGGAGGCAATGGCTTGTGCCATTATTAATCACCTGAATGTACCTACTGTATGAATACATAATACACCTTAACTTTTAATTTGCAGATGGATGAATTCTGTCTTATCTGACATCCTGAATTAATTTTTCACTTTCTTCTTTTCATACAATGTGTGTATCAGCGGAGAGCTAAGCAACCCTGACATGACTGTGTAGCAGCAGAAGGGCGTGATTGAGACCCGACACTGATATTGACGTATGGACATGTGAGGCTGGCTCACACTCGTTTATTTCCGACAAGGAAATAGAGGACCTAGGACACTTGGGACACATCGGAACAGGAGCATCTAGACGATATATCAGAGGACATTAAGCGCTGAGGATACCACAGACAACATGTCACGTAGGAGACTGGAGGCAGCTATATTGGCCGGGCAACAGATCGAGCAAGGTCTGTGAAAAGTTCATCGAACCATTATATATCATATACAGTCTGGTTGTTAACAGATGTCTTCAATTGCCAACTTGAAACTTGAAAAGCCATTGACTATGCTGATAGTCTTCTGTTTTCTCTTTTGATGTTGGCAACTTTTATAACCGTTTCTGTTCAGTAACAATAGATATGAGGATTATAATGTAGTTTTAGTTGTTCACTTTTACACATTGAGATAAAAAAGTGATATAGTATAATGTGTAAACAGGTAGAGGGTATGTAACATAGCTGTAACAAGAGGAGGTTATACATAGCTGTAACAGGAGGAGGTTATATATAGCTGTAACAGGAGGAGGTTATATATAGCTGTAACAGGAGGAGGTTATACATAGCTGTAACAGGAGGAGGTTATATATAGCTGTAACAGGAGGAGGTTATATATAGCTGTAACAGGAGGAGGTTATATATAGCTGTAACAGGAGGAGGTTATATATAGCTGTAACAGGAGGAGGTTATATATAGCTGTAACAGGAGGAGGTTATATATAGCTGTAACAGGAGGAGGTTATATATAGCTGTAACAGGAGGAGGTTATATATAGCTGTAACAGGAGGAGGTTATATATAGCTGTAACAGGAGGAGGTTATATATAGCTGTAACAGGAGGAGGTTATATATAGCTGTAACAGGAGGAGGTTATATATAGCTGTAACAGGAGGAGGTTATATATAGCTGTAACAGGAGGAGGTTATATATAGCTGTAACAGGAGGAGGTTATATATAGCTGTAACAGGAGGAGGTTATATATAGCTGTAACAGGAGGAGGTTATATATAGCTGTAACAGGAGGAGGTTATATATAGCTGTAACAGGAGGAGGTTATATATAGCTGTAACAGGAGGAGGTTATATATAGCTGTAACAGGAGGAGGTTATATATAGCTGTAACAGGAGGAGGTTATATATAGCTGTAACAGGAGGAGGTTATATATAGCTGTAACAGGAGGAGGTTATATATAGCTGTAACAGGAGGAGGTTATATATAGCTGTAACAGGAGGAGGTTATATATAGCTGTAACAGGAGGAGGTTATATATAGCTGTAACAGGAGGAGGTTATATATAGCTGTAACAGGAGGAGGTTATATATAGCTGTAACAGGAGGAGGTTATATATAGCTGTAACAGCTAGAGGTTATATATAGCTGTAACAGGAGGAGGTTATACATAGCTGTAACAGGAGGAGGTTATATATAGCTGTAACAGCTAGGTCAAGGGTTAATATAGCAGAAACAGGTAAGAACTATACATAGCTGTAAACAAACAGGTAGAGATTTTACATAGCTGTAAACAGGTAGAGATTTTACATAGCTGTAAACAGGTAGAGATTATGCATAGCTGTAATCAGGTAGAGATTATACATAGCTGTAATCAGGGAGAGATTATACATAGCTGTAATCAGGTAGAGATTATACATAGCTGTAATCAGGAATCAGGTAGAGATTATACATAGCTGTAATCAGGTAGAGATTAAATATATAAATATATGGCTGTAGCAGGTTGATAGTTACAAGTAACTCTTAAAGGTAGATATAATACAATTTACAGAGAAACAAAAGAAAAAGGAGGTAATATTATAACCATGGTGATAATTTAGGATTAAACTAATGTTAACACAAAGAACACGTCATTATATGAAGTCCTGAAAACAAACAAGATCAAATGAGTTTGTAATTTTTAATTGAAGTGACAGGTGTTTATATACTCGTGTAGGTATTTACCTGTTTGGGGAACCATTATTGACACTTCAGGGTAATGCAAGTTTCGATTGGTTAAGAGTATATATGTACCATGTCAATATTGGAGTGTCTACCTTGGTATTTGAATTTGAGCTCTTCCTGCTGAGATTTACATCATATTAACTGTTCCTGTATTGACTTTATCAAGTGGCAAATTTGAATACTGTCCTTGACATGTAGGCAGTGCTGTTGAAAAGAGTGAAGAATACATTTGTTTCCTGTTCTGTGATATACATGTATTCTGAACATGAAATGGAAAAAAGCATTTGCTTTGTGAACAAATTTTATTTACATTGATTTTCAATGAGCCTAAAGGCCTATCCAATTTGTAACCTGAGCATGTTTGAAAAGATTTAATTGTGATTTAAATCATCAGGACAATATTACATAGCATTAAATACAAGTACCAAAATATTCAGCTTGTTTACTGGAATATGGGAACTGGCTTTAAAAGACATTTAAATTAACCTTGATACGACTAAGTAAAGGGTGTTTTTAACTCGTAAACAGTTTTTGGACCAAAAAAGAAATACCATGGTAATTTCTTTTTAAAAAATATTTGTTTTGCTCATTTAATGTTTGAAGTGCAGTCATTTAAAAATTTGAAATAAAAATAAAAAGATAACAGACAGAGTGTGAAATTTCTCATTGGTTGTTGCAATTATAACTTTTACCAATGGTTTGGTACGAAAATAAGATGTTGTCTCAGAAATAATCAATGTATGACTATAATATATGGAATATGTAACCAGGGTGAGAAAATATTTGGAAAATCACTTACAAAAGCACCAAATATACAAACACATGTTGATTATATCTATTCTACCGCATAAATATGTAATTTAACTTACATTGAGCTGTGTATTTTCTTCAGTATATATGACTGAGATGTGGCCAAGATTAGCCTTTATTTAAATTGCACATGCATACTGCATTTGTCACAGTTATGCATCAATTTATTTTCATGAACTTGGGAGCTGCATGTTCATGACTCGACTCCAGATTGATTGATAGGAGGGTCTTTTGCGTCTTACTTGAATAAACTTGCAGTCAGATGCATTAATCACAATAAATTGTAAAAGTTCTAGAATCAATTTTCGTGTGCATTTTGATCTGTGTTTTCTTAATATAAAACCATTAATTTTAACAATTGCTTGATATTCATTTTCTCAGGTTATGTATCTTTTAAGCGAAATTCAAAATTGTGTGTGTATGACACACTGTTGAATGTCCGATTCTTGTTGAAGACTATCATAGATCTTTTAACATGCTGAAGTTTATTTTGAAAGCTGTTCTGATACTTGATATATAATTGGGTTCCAAAATTGTCAAGTTTTTCCATGGCATGATCACAAAATGGCCTTGTGTATAGCAGTATGGGTATTTAAGTGTGTCCAGTTTTCCTGTACCTGGGTATGTGGTTTCAGCTTTTAAGTCTGGTATCGTGCCACAGAGAAGACATTGACCTCGGAATATTTCTATGTATTTATGTGTCACCATTGTACTGGCGTCATGTCCTGTATGTTTTCTCTAGTACTTTGAACTACTACTTAGTAGATCTAACTGAATCATTTAATCGAGTGAAATTCGAAATGTTTTCTTACAAAAGTCTCTGTTCCAGACACACACAATTTTGTTAAATAAACAAGGAGCACTGCACTGTTGTCCTAGCCTGTATTTAGCGTATTGACAACAGACCATGTCCAGGAGTTGATATATACTTTCAATAATAGCTTTTGTTACCAGCGTACAGCAATATCACTTTCCTTTAACAGTTTTCCAGACAGTATTGCACTCATTTATGGATCTCGTCCTCGTCATTAATACCAGCATGACTGCCTTAACTTTTATTTCCAGGTAATTGCAGTTGATGATGGATACCATGATTGAAAACATAATTACAACACAATTGGCACTATCAGTCTTTGCTGCATGGTTGTTTCCTGTGACAGCTTTGTTGTTTGGTTTCCAGATAACTGGACATGAAAGTTCCAGCCAACATCCATTCCTGTGGTGCATTTCACTATGCCTTGTGTAATGATGAACTATTGATACCTTACAATATATTTTCAATGAATGCATAAATGCCAGACATGTACATATCACTTACCTCCCAGATATAGCTAGTATGGGAATGGTAGCTAGACCATCCACTGGAGAACTAAGACAGCTTTTACTTTTTATCTCTTTTACAATTAAGGTAGTTGAGGTCACCAGCCATGACGTTTTTGCCTTTGTACAACATCTAGGTCAGACTTTTATGTTTTATAGGCTCATAACTCTAACTACTAAAAATCCATCATACTTCAAACTTGATATAATGGATACATGTTGAGGAGTTGTAACACCAATATGTCATATGTACAAGTCACTGTAACCTAAATTCTTTGCTTCACTGACAGGGTTAGTTATTCTGCACACGGCTCAATTTCTTTTGATAGAATTTTGCTTTTTAATCCCCCACTGGCTCCCAGGGGGACTATAGGTCTGCACTCTGCCCATCTTTCTGTAAACACAACATTATTCACACTGCTTCTCCTAAGAACTGCACCAATTAGAGTATTGGTACTTGGTACAAAGAATCTTACATGAAGGAGATGTGAAGTATATAGATAGGAGGTACTCCCCCATTTAATGGAGTAATGCCTTTTATTTAAACAATGTTGTTCACACTACTCCTCCCGTAGTAACACACTGATTTGAATGATTTATGATACAAGTTATACTTACATTAAACGGCTAAGAATAATGTATATGGGTTAGAGTTATCTCCCCATTTAATGGAGTTATGCCTCTTCGTTCAAAAAAATGGTTCGCACTACTCCTTCCAAAGTACTGCATTGATTTAGAAGATACTAAATAATGATACTTAGTACACATAACACTAACACTGATGGATGTGAATAAAGTATAAATAGTAGGTTAACCTCCCCATTTAATGGAGTTATGCCCCTTTGTATTGAACATTATTCACACTACTGCTCCCAAAGTACTGCCCAATTTGAATGATACCTGGTATGCACTTGCATCAAAGCAGATGCAAATTTAGTATGTAAAAAAGAGTTATCTCCCCTATAATTATGCAGTTATTCACGTATGCTTAAAAGCATCATGCAAAGAGCTATTCCTACAGTTGTCTGTGCAGACTGGGTTAATAGTCTGACAGCAGTTCTAATTTAGTGCTCCTGGCCATAGTCAAGCATATTAAATGAGCTGCTGTGATGAGATTGGCTGATCGATTTTAGATTTCAGATTTTTTTAAGGAATTATCATGAATCTTGCTTGGTATACTTTCTACCAAAGCAGATACTTAAGTTTGTTGCTCAGCAAAGTTGATGGGTATTTCATGGGGCTGCTTTGATCAGATTGGCTGTTGGTTTCCAGATGATGTCTTTTGAAGGAATTATCAGATTGCAATAAAACTTGCCAGTAGTGATTGCTCTGCAAAGCCTCATGTTTGAATGTATACATCACACAAGATTGATAGATTTCCTTTATCTTTGCACATGCAAGGTATTGAACATACAACATATTGAATTATTTTATTTATTTTTTACTATCTTTTGTTTGCACTTGGTATTGAATTTATCTGATTTATGTCTCTGTAAACTCTACTGGTATTTCAACATGAGGTAAAAAAGCAAACAAATCTATCTCCAACTCAGCTGCTATTCTATAAACTAGCAAAATGATGTCAACACATTCGTTTGTCTACCAGTAAACAGAGAATGATTTCTGTGACATAGTCTTGTTGCTGTGCATAATGAACCCTTATCTGTTATAACTACAGTTGTACACCAGGGCCCAGTTGTTCAAAAGGTGGGTAGCTTAATCACTATTTAACGACATTTTTCAACCTTTCATAAATCCGTTAAAAAACCCGGTAAAATCTCACAATTTTGAATGTGAATTCACTCTACTAAACATTTGATATTTGGAAAGTTGTAACTAATTCAATGGTTGCTTTTTAAAGTTACACAAAAATTGAATGCGCTAAACACTTTTTGAACAACTGGGCTCAGGATGGTAAATAGTTAATGAAGGAACCTATAACAGATGTGTCTCATACTCAAGACAGATCCTAGACAGGAACTCCAGTCTTAGAAACACCATAATAATATAGGTTAATTGAATAAAGATTTTTTATTAAATAAAAAAAGAACAGAAGGAGAAGAAGCAACCACAAATTACACTGCTCACACAATACAATTGGTGTTAGATTGGAAATAGGGTTTACAGTCGGCAGTATTGATACGCTGCTGATGTATGTCAAAGGATGGTAATACAGACTGGTAACGCACAGTACTAAATAATGTAATTAGTCTGAGGTACTGTAAAGTACTGCCAGAGAACCATCGCTACCATGGTGTGTTAATTAGTGATGTAGGACCAGACGAGGTGTTAGTGGTATCACAAAATGGATGTGCAGAGTTGTTTGAAAGGTAAGGATATGGTAGTTTCACAGAACTTTTGACTACTTAAGAAATTACACCTTTGGCATATGTTTTTGGACCAGACAGCACTGTACAATATAGGTAACATAGGTAGCTCAATAGACAGAGGATCCCGAGCACTGTACCACTGTACAATATAGGTAACATAGGTAGCTCGATAGACAGAGGATCCTGAGCACTGTACCACTGTACAATATAGGTAACATAGGTAGCTCAATAGACAGAGGATCCTGAGCACTGTACCACTGTACAATATAGGTAACATAGGTAGCTCAATAGACAGAGGATCCTGAGCACTGTACCACTGTACAATATAGGTAACATAGGTAGCTCAATAGACAGAGGATCCTGAGCACTGTACCACTGTACAATATAGGTAACATAGGTAGCTCAATAGACAGAGGATCCTGAGCACTGTACCACTGTACAATATAGGTAACATAGGTAGCTCAATAGACAGAGGATCCTGAGCACTGTACCACTGTACAATATAGGTAACATAGGTAGCTCAATAGACAGAGGATCCTGAGCACTGTACCACTGTACAATATAGGTAACATAGGTAGCTCAATAGACAGACGATCCTGAGCACTGTACCACTGTACAATATAGGTAACATAGGTAGCTCAATAGACAGACGATCCTGAGCACTGTACCACTGTACAATATAGGTAACATAGGTAGCTCAATAGACAGACGATCCTGAGCACTGTACCACTGTACAATATAGGTAACATAGGTAGCTCAATAGACAGACGATCCTGAGCACTGTACCACTGTACAATATAGGTAACATAGGTAGCTCAATAGACAGACGATCCTGAGCACTGTACCACTGTACAATATAGGTAACATAGGTAGCTCAATAGACAGACGATCCTGAGCACTGTACCACTGTACAATATAGGTAACATAGGTAGCTCAATAGACAGACGATCCTGAGCACTGTACCACTGTACAATATAGGTAACATAGGTAGCTCAATAGACAGACGATCCTGAGCACTGTACCACTGTACAATATAGGTAACATAGGTAGCTCAATAGACAGACGATCCTGAGCACTGTACCACTGTACAATATAGGTAACATAGGTAGCTCAATAGACAGACGATACTGAGCACTGTACCACTGTACAACATAGGTATCATAGGTAGCTCAATAGACAGAGGATCCTGAGCACTGTACCACTGTACAATATAGGTAACATAGGTAGCTCGATAGACAGAGGATCCTGAGCACTGTACCACTGTACAATATAGGTAGCATAGGTAGCTCGATAGACAGAGGATCCTGAGCAAAAAGTGTACCACTGTACTACAGAGTGAAGGGGATTAGTTTGTTAGATCACATTGTATTATATAATCCTAAATGTTCCCTCATGGCAAACAATATTAAATGGGGATGTAAAATGTTGGTCCAGTGTACCTAGCATAGACAAAATGTCTCATGTTATCACAAAGACAAGAATCGAGCCCGCTGATGAAATCTGTCCCTCCTACAGCTCTGAATCCTCCAGGCTAACATAACTTAATCAAATTACTTGAAATTATAAGTAGAAAGCATAAATGTAGATGTTGGAAGACATTTGCTTATGTTTTCTTTTCTTTTCAGGAAAATCATGGCCACAACAATATACAGGTATGCAGATCATCAAGGAGGTATATTTTGACATTGATTCCCTAGGCCCTGTCTACAGTTTACAGTACTCATATGATGGGGAGTCCCTTGCCGTTGGATTTGGCAACGGTGCAATCCGTGTAAGTTATCACCCATTCATGTTATGAAATCAGAGAAGAATTACAAATTGTACTTGTAAATGTCCATATTATGAATAAATTGACATATCACAATACCAGTAATGAAATATTTTGATCAGGAATAATATATTTATAAAATAATAAAATGTAACCAGTGCTGTAGCCAAGTGCACGTCGTATGGGTGTTTTTAATTCAAATATTGTAAAAAGAAAGAAAAGGAAAAAACAATGATTGTATAATATATTGATTTTACAGTGATAGTTTTTCTAGGCACATTAAGATAACATCTAAAATGTTTACAATTACATAACCTGGCCAGATCTGCCAACACCCTGTTTAACCTTTCTTACCTCTTACTTAATAATAGCCTCTCCCTTCCTTTGTGGCATTGATGGACCTAGTGTAGAAATGAGGGAGGTCTAAACCATAATAGAATGATTGATTAGCTACACTTCACCAATATTGATTGTACATTTATTTGATTATTCTGAGGCGTGCAATATATCATTTTTAAAAGCCAGGTTTGTTAATCAGTGCTGCTATTGATATTTAAATTTACATCAAGGTAATAAATATTTACACACAAAAAAACTTGGCTTTATTAGTTTCTGATAAAATCCGTTTAACGTTTGTATGATCACAGTTAATATTGACTGTGATAGATGACACATTGAATTTATTTTTTACAGTTATACGAGTCCAGGACTGGCGAGTTTATTAAAGAACTGAGGAAGCCACGGTATGGAGGCCTACAGATCATGTGCCTGCGTTTCCATACCAAAGTCCATCACATTCTCCTGGCAAGTACTGCAGACGGCAAGGTGTTTGAATGTAACACCAAAGACGACAGCATCGCTGAAGTGATCTCAGGTCAGTCCTACTGGTCACTAGCCTTCCTGGTCAATCTCACAGATCACCAAGCCGGTATCTCTCATTGGTCAGCTTCACTGGTGACTGCCCTTCCTGGTCAATCTCACAGGTCACCTACTCAGTATATCTCATTGGTCAGTCTCACAGGTCACTTACCCGGTATCTCTCATTGGTCAGCTTCACTGGTCACTTGCCTCAATGGTCAGTCTCACAGGTCACTTACCCTGTATCTCTCATTAGTCAGCTTCACTGGTCACTTGCCTCAATGGTCTGTCTTACTAAGATGCCTTGTACATGTATATCTATATAAAATACTTACCAGATATATTGCCATAGAAATGTTTCTTATAGGCCTATCAAAAATTTGTCAAATATTTTGGTATGGAAATTAAGCATAAATTTGTTCATTTTTTTGGTTTTACCAAAACAACTTGCTTAAATGTCATGTGACTTTATGGAAACTTGATGAGCATGTAACAAGCACAATGATTCAATCAAAGTTGACTGGATTCAGAAGAAACTTGCTCAATAATTAAATTATACCAAGACAAAGGCTGAGTTTGAAGTTGAGCAAAATCTGTGCTTAATCAATTAACATACTGTGCTGTGATTGGCCGAAGGTTTTCGCTCAGTAATTTGATGAAATATGATTTTGATGAAACTAAGTCAATATTTACACTATTAACAAAATCTGCCAGTAATTGATAAGCGCTCAGATATATACATGGTATGTTGATTTAATGATCTAGGATGATTCGAGGCAGAGGGAGGCAATACCAATTTTTTTATTATTTGAATTATGGGTAAAGAGAAGCAATTCCTTTTCTATACAATTATGGATTTTCCAAAGGTAGATGACTTAAAGGATATATAGCATATATTCCTTCAGCTTAAATGGGTAAAGTGTTTTGTCCTTTCACCACATCCTAGAAATACTTTAACTTTACTGAAGAATTATAGTACAAATGTGGTTTGTTCTTGTCACATTTGTCATATTTTAACATGAGAATGCAACAAAAGGATTTTTAGCATATTAGTTTGAGATATGCGTTTAGCAGATCAATAAGTATGCAGTTGTCTTATTAAGTCATCTGCTAAATATTCACTTGAACTGTAAACTGCCCAATGAAATCGATTTGTAAAACAAACAACACTGTCCAATGAAATCTATTTGTAAAACAAACAACACTGTCCAATGAAATCTATTTGCAAAAAATAAAAATAAATAAAAAATAAAAAATTTGTATATAACAACTATACATGTAGGAAATATAAGGTCAATTTTAAATTACCATGGAGAAATGGCTGCTATTTCATCATGAAAATGTGCTTATGCATGTTTAAAAAAAATTCTTTTGTTTTAAAATTCATTTTCATTGTTTTATTTACAGAAAAGGGAAATGAGATCAACTGTCTTGATTTTGATATCGATGGTTTAAGTTTTGCCACAGGAGGAAAGGATTTAGCCATACGTATCTATGATGCAAAAACGTACAAGGTGTTTATATACTTTATTCATGAAGATAATAAAATTAAAATTATTAAAACAAATGTAATGTCAGGACTCCTAACTTGGTAAGTGTTATACCTAATAAAGGCTATACTACACACAGGATTGACCAGGATCAGCAGTTTTAACAGAGGCTCGTGTAAATAAACCATGAGGTTTGATTTCTTCTTTAACTGTGAAGAATATTTTGTTACAATTCAGATTCCATACTACACAAAAGTCTTGACTGTCATATGCTTATCTCTGTTTCAGATACTTAATACTTATAAGGGTTTCAGCATTAAAGAAAACCATAGTGAAATAGATTCAGCAGGGTGTTCCATGAGGGTGTTTGCACTGAAGTACCACCCAGAGATTGAGAACATATTTGTTACTGGAGGCTGGGACAGCCACCTTAAGGTATTGTTTGGTTTGTAATTCCCCCACCCAGAAACGTTGGGGTGAAAGTTTGGGGGAAGGAGCTCACATTGTCACATTGTCTATGTTCATAAGTCATCTCTCTAATACTGTCTTAATTTGGGGTCAGATTTTCTTTAAACCTCATACAGTGATTAAAATGGTAGCTTGAATTGATTTGCACTTCCTCAAGGTCGAGGTCACTGATACTATAAATAAATAAAATCTTAGGACAGTGACTTTATCTCTCCAGTACCTTTGTTAAATGCTGTGGATTTCGTAAAAATCCTCATTTGTGGTAAAGTATCAAGATAGCTTGAACAAGTTCCTCAAACAAGTCAAAAATCAACATTACTATGAAGAGAAAATCTTCCTGTAGAGATGTCATCTCCCAAACACCTTCATTTGTGACCAGCTTTGATTTCCCTGTAACTTCAAATAGAGGTTAAATACCAAAATATTTCATGTTTCAACATATTAAACTATACATTTAATGATGTTGGTAGTGTGGACAGAATAAATCAATTTTTGGACAAAACAGTAAAACATTACATGACATAAATCAACATCAAACTAAATAAAATTCTGTGATCAGTAATGTAACAATATAATGTGATTACTTTAGGACCTCCTATATATGTTGCTTGATTTGTGAGAAGATAATCACATTTTTTTCAGAATTAACAAAAAAAACACCTATGCATTATACATATCCAGATTTGGGATGATCGATGCGTAGACGGACAAGCAGTGGTACGGACAATACATGGACCACATATCTGTGGAGACAGCCTGGATATTAAGGTATAAATAATATACCAGACAAGAAAAAACGTTTTCCTATGTTTAAAAAATCGTGTATTACTGATTCTTAAGATTGGAGATATCTAGAAATATTACTGTACACCAGGAAACTCTCATCAAGTCTGACTTTTGTCTAGGTACACCAGTAAACTCCATATTCCCCCAGTGATAACTTCACATGTTCCATTTGATTACTATTTATATATGTTGTTTTCTAACATTTGCTGTGGTGATAAATTTACCCTCAAATGGTGATGAAAATTTCCTGATATACAGTGTGCTGATCCACCTTGATGTCTTTACACAAGTTAGTCTCGAACACAACACTAGGACATCTGCCGCCATTTGATTCCTTCAATCACAACTGAATTACAATACAGTGCTGATCAGCTTATGAGTAATTTATGTACTAACAAAAAAGGAAAATGTTACAAATATCCAGAATGGATTTATTTCCCCTTAGACAGTATATGAGATGTACTTAGCTCCGAGTCAGTCGTTGATCATAGTATTACGTAGTACCTAAGAGTGAGAGATACATGTAGATTGTAAGATGACTTGTTTCTTTTTACAGGGTTATGAGATATTGACAGGTTCTTGGAGAAAGAAAGATGCTCTACAGATATGGGACTATTCTTCAGGCAAGGTTAAGACAGAGGTGAACTTTGAACTTGGCGGTTGTGATGGGTCCTACCTGTACTGTGGCCAATTCTGTGACAATGATGTCATCATGGCAGCCGGTAGTGGCACCAAAAGTTGTGAGGCAATCAACAGGAACACAGGAAAGGTAATCAACAGAATCTTTGAGACAATAATGCTGTGCTAGCAGTGCACCTTCTGTCCATCAGTTCTGGTCAAGGAACCAGATACATATTTGTGTACTGAACACTCGTATAAAGTTTCTTACAATTAAAAAAAAATAAAAAATGATATGTTAAAGGGTGTGTGAATGGGAAAAGTGTTGACAAGTGGGATAAAACGTTTAGTAGGGGGATAAAACGTCTAGTAGGGGGATAAAGTGTCTAGTAGGGGAATAAAACGTCTAGTAGGGGGATAAAACGTCTAGTAGGGGGATAAAGTGTCTAGTAGGGGAATAAAGTGTCTAGTAGGGGGATAAAGTGTCTAGTAGGGGAATAAAACGTCTAGTAGGGGGATAAAACGTTTAGTAGGGGGATAAAACGTCTAGTAGGGGGATAAAGTATCTAGTAGGGGGATAAAACGTCTAGGAGGGGGATAAAGTGTCTAGTAGGGGGATAAACGTCTAGTAGGGGGATAAAACGTTTAGTAGGGGGATAAAACATCTAGTAGGGGGATAAAACATCTAGTAGGGGGATAAAGTGTCTAGTAGGGGGATAAACGTCTAGTAGGGGGATAAAGTGTCTAGTAGGGGGATAAAACGTCTAGTGGGAGGATTAAACGTCTAGTAGGGGGATAAAACGTCTAGTAGGGGGATTAAACGTCTAGTAGGGGGATAAAGTGTCTAGGAGGGGGATAAAAGGACTAGGAGGGGGATAAAAGGACTAGGAGTGGGATAAAGTGTCTAGGAGTGGGAAAAGTGTCTAGGAGGGGGATAAAAGGACTAGGATTGGGATAAAGTGTCTATGAGTGGGATAAAGTGTCTATGAGTGGGATAAAGGGTCTAGGAGTGGGATAAAGGGTCTAGGAGTGGGATAAAGTGTCTATGAGTGGGATATAGGGTCTAGGAAGGGTGTTAAAGGGACTAGGAGGAGGATACATGTCTATGATGGGGATAACTTGTCTAGGAGTGGGATAAAGTGTCAAGGAGTGGGATAAAAGGTCTAGGAGTGGGAAAGGTGTCTATGATGGGGATAACGTTTCTAGGAGGGGGATAAAAGGACTAGGAGGAGGATAACTTGTCTAGGAGTGGGATAAAGTGTCTAGGATTGGGATAAAAGGTCTAGGAGTGGGAAAGGTGTCTATGATGGGGATAACGTTTCTAGGTGGGGGATAAAAGGACTAGGAGTGGAATAAAGTATCTAGGCGGGAGATAAAAGGACCAGGAGTGTGATAAAGTGTCTTGGAGTGGGATCAAGTGTCTAGGAGTGGGATAAAGCGACGAGGAGTGGGATAAAGGGTGAATGAGTGGGATAAGAGTCTATAAGTGTTGATAAAGTGTCAAGGAGTGGTATAAAGGGACTAGGTGGGGGATAAAGTGTCTAGGAGTGGGATAAAGGGACTCTGAGGGGGATGAAGTGTCTAGGAGTGGGATAAAGGGTCTAGGAGTGAGATAAAGTGTCTAGGAGTGAGATAAAGGGACAAGGCACGGGATAAAGGATGTAGGAGTGGGATAAAGGGTGTAGGAGTGGGATAAGAGTAGAAGTGTTGATAAAGTGTCTAGGAGTGGGATGAAGGGAGGGGGATAGGGGGGGGGGATAAATGGTCTAGGAGTGGGATAAAGTGTCTAGGAGTGGGATAAAGGGACTCGGAGTGAGATAAAGAGTCTAGGAGTGGGATAAAGGGACAAGGCAAGGTATAAAGGATGTAGGAATGGGATAAGAGTCTAGAAGGGTTGATAAAGTGTCTAGGAGTTGGATGAAGGGACTAGGTGGAGGATAAATGGTCAAGGAGTGGGATAAAGTGTCTAGAGGGGGATAAAGGGTCTAGGAGTGAGATAAAGTGTCTAGGAGTGTGATAAAGGGACAAGGCACGGGATAAAGGATGTAGGAGTGGGATAAGGTCTAGGAGGGGGATAAAATGTCTGGGAGGGAGATTAAGTGTCAAGGAGGGGGATAAAAGGTCTAGGAGGGAGATAAAGTGTCAAGGAGGGGGATAAAAGGTCTAGGAGTGGGGTAAAGTGTCTACGTGGGGAATAAAAGGTCTAGGAGTGGGATAAAGGGTCTAGGAAGGGGAGGAAGGGACTAAATGGGTGATAAAAGGTCTGGGAGGGATATAAAGGGACAAGGAATGGGAGTAACGGTGTAGGGGTGGGATAAGTGTCTAGGAGGAGTATAAAGTGTTTAGGAGCTAGATAAACTAACAAGGAGTGGGATAAAAGGACAAGGAGGGGATAAAGGGTCTAGGAGTGGGATAAGTGTCTATGAGAGGGATAACGTGTCTACGAGTTGGATAACATGTCTAGGAGTGGGATAAAGGTACTAGGAGTGGGATTAAGGGTCTAGGAGTTGGATAAAGGGTCTAGGAGTTGGATAAAGGGTCTAGGAGTTGGTTAAAGGATGAAGAGGTTTGATAAGGTCTAGGAGTAGGATAAAGGGTCTAGGAGTGTGATAAGGTCTAACAGTGGAATAAAGGGTCTATGGGTGGGGTAAAGTGTCTAGGAGTGGGATAAGGTCTAGGAGTGGGATAAAGGAACTAGGAGTGGGATAAAGGGTCTAGAAGGGGGATTAAGGTTCTTGGAGGAGGGGTTAAGGGTCTAGGAGTGGATTAAAGGGTTTTGGAGTGGGGTCAAGGGTATAGCAGTGGGATAAAGGGCAATGGCATCTCATAAAGGGTCTAGGAATAGCATAAAAGGGTCTTTGTGTGAGACAAAGGGTCCAACGGTGTCATCAAGGTCTGAGGATTAGATAAAATGGTCCCTGGGTGTGACATTCTCACTTTGTCTAGAAGTGTTGATAAAGTGTCTAGCAGTGTGGTAAAGACTCCTGTAATGAAAAATGTAGGGATGTGTTCAGGTGTAAAGGAATAGGAGTTTCAGTGGATTTGATATAAAGGGAAATTAGGGTTTGATTAAGGGTCTTGGGATGTGATAAAAGATTAGGAATTAAAGGGTCACAAGTGTTAACATTGTTATCCAGAAGTGTTTCAACAAAACGAGAATCTTGTTATATCATATTGCTGATAAACAAAAACACTGCATTTATTACTAGATATGAGACAAGTTCCAAAGGGTTAGACTTTGTATGATACTGTGATAGGTATTGTATGATACTGTGATAGGTATTGCATGCTACTGTGATAGGTATTGTATGATACTGTGATAGGTATGGTATGATACTGCGATAGGTATTGTATGATACTGTGATAGGTATTGCATGCTACTGTGATAGGTATTGTATGATACTGTGATAGGCATTGTATGATACTGTGATAGGTATTGCATGCTACTGTGATAGGTATTGTATGATACTGTGATAGGGATTGCATGCTACTGTGATAGGTATTGTATGATACTGTGATAGGTATGGTATGATACTGTGATAGGTATTGTATTATACTGTGATAGGTATTGTATGATACTGTGATAGGTATTGTATGATCCTGTGATAGGTATTTTTATGATACTGTGATAGGTTTTTGTATGATACTGTGATAGGTATGGTATGATACTGTGATAGGTATTTTTATGATACTGTAATAGGTATTTGTATGATACTGTGATATGTATTGTATGATACTGTGATAGGTATTGTATGATACTGTGATAGGTAGTGTATGATACTGTGATAGGTATGGTATGATACTGTGATAAGTATTTGTATGATACTGTGATAGGTATGGTATGATACTGTTATAGGTATTTGTTTGATACTGTGATAGGTATTTGTTTGATACTGTGATAGGTATTGTATGATACTGTGATAGGTATTGTATGATACTGTGATAGGTATTGTATGATACTGTGATATGTATTGTATGATACTGTGATAGGTATTTGTATGATACTGTGATAGGTATTGTATGATACTGTGTTAGGTATGGTATGATACTGTGATAGGTATGGTATGGTACTGTGATAGATATTGTATGATACTGTGATAGGTATTTGTATGATACTGTGAAAGGTATTGTATGATACAGTGATAGGTATTGTATGATACTGTGATAGGTATGGTATGAGACTGTGATAGGTATTGTATGATACTGTGATAGGTATTGTATGATACTGTGTTAGGTATGGTATGATACTGTGATAGGTATTTGTATGATACTGTGATAGGTATTGCCAGTTTGGTTATTGGTTTGTTTCTATTTAACAGATGGTTGGTGAGGTGAAGTTTGATAAGGCAGTGATCGCCATGGACACGGTGGCTGGGGGTCGCTTGTTTGCCTGTGGAGGAGAGGACAAAAAATTTGTATTAGGTGCACTGTCAGACTAACATATATCATGGCTGATACAGTTACATACCACATATTATTGACAAGTGTGAAGGGAGAGAATACATGGAGACTTAAATAGAATCATTCAAGTTTCTGCGATATACATGTATGAGGGTTTCAGGAAAATACACTACTGAAAATATTTTTGAATCAACTGCAACAGGGTATTTTCCTGGATTTATTCAGTAAACAAGATATGTTGTGATAGGTATTGCTTGTGATTTAAATGTATTTTTGCAAGATACTTGTATGAACAGAAGACTAAACTTTGTGATTTAAGTTAATTTACACCATAGCATTACAGATTTATTCATGTTTATGATGTTATGGTGATGAAATTCCGTCCTATTAAGCCATGCACCACCACTATCTGTTGAGAAATGTCCTTTTGTATTCTTGCCTTCACTGGAAGGGAAGACCCCTCTGTATAAAGTGTGGGATATTTTTGTACCTACATGTATATAGTTTAAGTATTCCTTTGAGTATGCCTTGTTACACCGAGTTAACTGTTTCTATAGTCCATTTATCATGGTTCATTTCCTCATTCAAAAACTCATTAAACTGTGAAAATTTAGTTCGTTAAAAGAACATGGTATTGACATATTTTCGTAACAAAATCATGTCCTAATATTTCATGTTTCCTGGACTTGCGTTTTATTTTCTGTCATCCCTATAGAAATTGCAATCCCTCATTGGGAGCCACCACAGATATTACATTTACAACACTTTGTTGTCAACCAGCAACAGACATCAGTCACATGGCTACACAGTGACTACAGTTAAAAAGAAAACAAATTCATTTCAACATGCCAAAATCCATCCTCTTTGATAGAGCCTGAAAAATAGAAAGTAGATGCCCGTCTGAGAAATATGAAAACAACAAAAAATTGGCTTATCTTTTGCTTGTTTATAGATTTTAAGCTATAACTAGATACATGTGCTGTGAGGAGTTTATATTGGAAAAAACTAAAGCTAAACATTTAAAAATAAAAAAATAAAATCACTGATAAAGAAACTTTGTTGGCAATATCAACGGAGCACTTATCACTGTATTGGTAATTTCAACTTGCAGTTGCTGATCGAAAATAGTACCTTTCAAGTGCAATTTATGGTTATAAAGAAATTGAAGTCGGTGGAAGGGAGGTAACTGTATTACAGAGACCCTTCCGAAATTTGTCATTTCTGCTAAGTTCAGCATTCATAAGAAAGTTATGTCAGTAATCTACTGTGATAATACCAGACAACGTGTCAAAGATCTGATTTAGATTATTAAAAAATACCTGTAATGAATAAATATGCTTTGTAAGTGTTTGTGTTTGTTTATTATTATCATTACAGTGTAAATAAAAATACATTTTCCCCTACCCCTACCAGCATTACACAATTATTGCCCTTGGTATTTCACAACACTAATCATGTTTCACCAGGAAAAAAAGCCCAAGCGTTTGTCTTTACCAGTTATATAAGCTATGAAAATTGGGGAAAACAGGTCAATGTTATCTTAATAAAAAAATAGCAATTTATTTGGAAATGGAGCAGTTTAGTTGTGATTCAAAAATATACCAAATGATTTGGTAAGAAGTTTAAATACCATGTAAAATAAGACGTTTTGTTTTATGATATGAGATTTTCTATTTATGACTCGCCAATGTGAACGCACTAAATACTGTGAATTATTTGAGTTATCTCCCGTTGCCTAGGTCTCGCGACAACGGTAGCTCGCAAAATAAGTGTTCAGTGAGTGTTTGTGTTCAAAACACACTTCAACATTTATTATTCATACCAAACCGACGAATCTTATTCCGAAAAGTAGCTATTTTAAAATGACTTATAATTTATTTCCCGGTAATTATGTGGTTAAATATTTGGGTTTTATTCATTTTTTTTACACTAAACAGACCAATCAACAGGATTAGTGTGAAAAAGGCTGTGTTATTTTGATAGCCCTGACGTTTTCTTATTTTGACAGCAGCAATAGAGTAATTTATCAGTTTTGTTGGCGGGAAATGGACCATATGTTCACTGAAGACCGTGCATTTAAGGAAAACGCAATAAAGAAAATATTCTTAGTTTCTTAATAAACAACGATTTTTATTATCTCATTGTATGTGTGTTGCTTTTTAAAATATATTATTTTTGCCATACGAAATGACTATCAAAGACTTTTGTCTAATCAGGGAGAACTACTAAGTATTACTCGCTCAGAATTAAGTGTGCAATATTTCATTCTGGGTTCGATATTTTCTGTCGTGATAACGAGTAACTGCCCTTTAGACATTTTCTCTAAATCTTACAGCATGAATTTGGCTATTTTTCTATACTAACAACTTTTTCGTGAGTAAATGTAAAAGAAAGTATTAATTTCAAAACCTACAATTCTCCCCTCTCTGAAAAATATGCTGCAAGCTGGAATTAGGATTTCATCGCCATTTTGATTTTGGCGAGATAAAAATAGGACTCGCCCATTTTAAAGTGTTCTGGTTTACGGCTTATTGGGTGTTATAATAAATTATATTTTGTGTTGCGGTTAACAGACTAATGTGTTATAATAAGCGTTATGTGCTGTGGTTTGCTTTGTTGTATACTGTGTATAATGATTTGCCTTAATTATTGAATCGTGGCTTGCGACATGCTTTGTGTGATTATGTGATACGTATTTTTAGCGTAAATTTTCTGTTATTATTTGCCGACCAGAGCTTTATTTTCCCGATTCCAACCGATGCAAGCAAACGACCAGGCCCTAACGACACATTAAGGCTGTGAACAATCTGGACTAGTTCTTGTACCATAATATCTTCAATCGCCTGAGAAAATCTTATACTTTGAAGAAAACATGTTATTCCTGATTGCTTTAGGGGAATCAGACACACTGGTCGTGATAAAGGGCTATTTCAACAACTGACCAGCTTGCTAACTGACCAACACGTCAATTTGTAAATATGCACAGGGGTTTAGATCATCACGTTAACGTAATTGAATGTAGAATATCGTGGATCACGCTATCGTCGTTATGTTTGGTGAGAATAGACTCACGATATTCCATGTGTAGGACACATTCATCACTCTCGTTACACAAAGAATTTGATTTAATTTAATGGATATTTAATAACACGCAAATTAGATTTGCATTGCTTTATCAGTTTCGAATGATTAATATCAACTAAACTGCTTTTTAAACAAAACTAGTATCATATAAGTTTAACGTTGTAATGAATATCGATTATGATACAGACAGGTCGTCCTTCATCCAGACTAATCCCCCCTAGACAAGCTGGTACGCTGGTGTGGTACGTTAACTTCTCCCCGGAATACCACTTCAACATCAAGTAACAAAACAGGAAACACACTGACAATATCACCGACATGATAACTGTGTGGTCAAAAATCAAAACGGTCATTACTGCACCACCAAAACAACAAAGAAACTTGACACAAACAGGTCAACACGAAGCAAACACACAACGACCCTAATCAGCTATTACCATACCACAAAGACTGTACAGGTTTGTGTATGTGTTAATCAATTATAGGCAACGACGACAATATTTGATAACCGATCGCAAAATTAAATGCGTTATGCACATCTACATATGCTTACTAATGCTAAAGTGAAGTTTCATAAATACTTGGCCTGAAGTTTATGCGAAAAAAAATTCCGGAAACCATTTGGCAGAAGTCAATAAGTCCCCCACCTCGTTTTAGGGACTTCGTTACCACACACCAGCGCATACAGAGGCTGATCGTCTTAGGACGTGTCAAAATGTGGCGTGGTCCAAATGATTTCTTATTTATTTATTTTGTTTAGAAATGAGATATTCTTTGAAATTCACGAATGTAAAGAGGACAATTGATAGACTTATCTTAAAAAGTCTCCAGGGGATTACAACTATGGACAACCGTCGCCAATCTACCAAAAAATAACGTATATCAAGCCAACCTTAAGTCAAATACCCAACATAGGAGTTGAATTGCTATATACCAGTAAAACTATATAAATATCCCATTCTTAGACAACAATTACCGTACCATCAACACTATGTGATAACTACATTCCTAGACAAGTATTACAATACCAGAAAAACTATATGGGAAGTACACCCCTATAAAACTATAGCTGTACGTCAAAACAACATCAGAATAACATCCCTAGATAACAATTACTACAAAAACCATGTAAACACCGCATCCATACATTGTCATTAACTTACCACCAAAACCGTGTAAGACTCACATCTCTAAACAAACATACACGTACCACCAAAACCGTGTAATAATCACATCTCTAAACAAACATACACGTACCACGAAAACGTGTGAGACTCGCATCTCTAAACAAACATACACGTACCACCAAAACGTGTGAGACTCGCATCTCTAAACAAACATACACGTACCACCACAACCGTGTAAGACTCGCATCTCTAAACAAACATACACGTACCACCAAAACCGAGTAATAATCACATCTCTAAACAATATGAACGTACCACCAAAACCGTGTAAGACTCGCATCTCTAAACAAACATACACGCAACACCAAAACCGTGTAATAATCATATCTCTAAACAAACATAAACGCACCACCAAAACCGTGTAATTATCACATCTCTAAACAAACATACACGTACCACCAAAACGTGTGAGACTCGCATCTCTAAACAAACATACACGTACCACCAAAACCGAGTAATAATCACATCTCTAAACAAACATTAACGTACCACCAAAACCGTGTAAGACTCGCATCTCTAAACAAACATACACGTACCACCAAAACGTGTGAGACTCGCATCTCTGAACAAACATACACGTACCACCAAAACGTGTGAGACTCGCATCTCTGAACAAACATACACGTACCACCAAAACCGAGTGATAATTACATCTCTAAACAAATATGAACGTACCACCAAAACCGTGTAATTATCACATCTCTAAACAAACATACACGTACCAACAAAACCGTGTGAGACTCACATCTCTAAACAAACATACACGTACCACCAACACCGTGTAGTAATCACATCTCTAAACAAACATGAACGTACCACCAACACCGTGTAATAATCACATCTCTAAACAAACATTAACGTACCACCAAAACCGCGTAATAATCACATCTCTAAACAAAGATACACGTACCACCAAAACCGTGTAATAATCACATCTCTAAATAACCATTAACGTATCTCTTAACAACCTTAAACGTACCACCAAAAGCATTTGAAAATCTTAATCCTACACTAGCACCTTCCCTTTGTCAACCATTATCATTCCACCGAAGGTATTTCACGATGGGTAGATATAGGTACATTTATACCGCAAAAAAAGGACGTTCGTCTATTAACCACGTGTTGTCATTGAGGTTGTGGGTTTTTTCAAACTAAGCCTGACAGTGGACGTTTTGTCAGAGATCATATTGTAAATGTTTTTTCTTACTTACAACTTACCGTGATAGCGGGTTTTGTCGCTAACTAGACAAATGATTATTACTCAATTTGTCCGGACCTCCTCATTCAAGCTTGAACATGTAACCTACATGGTCTTGGCGTGATAGCACAGCGCACGCTTTGCCAGTTACTGGTCATATTTGTTAATTCTTTGACGGAGACAAGTACTACTGTTTGTTACCTCATAATGCATATTCTGGTTGGTCTGGAATCAGCATACTTTATTGGCTTAGTAGCGTGACTTACTTTAAACTCAGTGCGACAATATTGAAGTAAAACTATTTATATCGTGGAGTAATTCATTGCGAAGACAGATCGCGAATATACATGAGTATGACAATTATTGAGCCATAATTTTGAACAAGGGATACATATTCGTTTTAAGTTTTCGTTGCGAACGCTCATTGCGAGTAAATTGTTTAAAGTACCAGAGCGAAAATATATATTTGTAACAATGAAGCGGGCTTCGGTGTGTTCGTCATATCGTCGTGCCGTCGCTATACACGACGTATATGACAGATTATAACACACCGATGTCGTGCTGTCGCTATACACGACGTATATGACAGATTATAACACACCGATGTCGTGCTGTCGCTATACACGACGTATATGACAGATTATAACACACCGATGTCGTGCTGTCGCTATACACGACGTATA